TTAATAAAAAATCTCATGAGTCAAAAAGTCAGAGGTTTTTCATCCTAATCTTGTTCCATATGGTAGAAAACTATATGAAGCAAATATTCAAACCAGTTTGTTAAGGATATGGAAGTGAGAACCAAGAGTTATCACTGTTTGGATTTATTGCCCAAAAAGTGCTGCATATTTCATTCCCTCCGTTACCGACATGAGTTTTTAATTTTTGTCAACAACTTGAAAGAATCTCACAGGTTTAACTTTACTCTGATACTTGACTTATTTCAATAGTCCCTCTAGTTTGTGAATAAGAGACATTTGAATGTCAAAAATCTGCCCCTGTTTCCCTCCGTTAACACTTGACCGAACCCTAAGTCGTCGAAAAATTGAAGTCTTCATGTACCTGACGTGGGGCTCGAACGATATGGATTTTTTTGCGGCCGATATGACATCGATAAAACAGGAGTTGGAGCTGTCGATATAAAAGTGGGTTTTAAATTGTGTTTGTTTAGGCGACATTTATTGTTATTCTGCGTCTTTACGTCAATATATCGATATTAAAACTGGTATTGAATGTCTTTAGAATGATGTTGAGCTGTATCAGAACAAGTTTAAGAGCACAAAGACTCGTCTACGCCCATGAATCCATCAGAAAATCCACTTCTAAAACATGGACGTGAACAGTTTCAAACACTGACACAGATCAGTCTGTCATGTCTGTGCTCAGTCGCACAAATATTGGGATTCCACTGGTTTTTCTTCTTCACTTCAATAGTGTCTGTTTTTAAATTTGCCCATAAAGAAATGCCTTCGCTGGAATCCAACAGATGAGCTGATTTGTGCCGTTAAACTCGTCCCTCAAATAACATCACAGTTCAAACTCGCTCGCATCAGCCAACAGTTTTACAGTGACTTTCACCTTTTTGTGGTAAATCAAATCTGAACAGGAGCGTGAACTTTCTTGATGATCACACGCTCCTGAAAATGTCTCTTATTATCTTCATTTTCTGTTTATTCTTTTTCTAAACACATGTTGAGTGAGAGCGTTGTGTCGCCGTGGTAACCGCGGAACATTCTTCCCCGGCGTGATGTCACTGTGGAACATTGGCGTTGCTAGGGCCGTCGCCGTGGTGGATGGAATCTTCCTTTGACGTGTCGTCAGTGCTTTACGACACGTAAAGTGCTTTAGTGCAGAAGTTTATAAGTGTAAGTGAGTCCTGCAGCAGAACTTCAGACGATCAGAACTTCAGACGATCAGAAGACAGAACAGAGTGAACTTCACACAGAGACACTCCCAGACTTTTCACTTTCACATTTGCACTTTCACTTACAACAGCATTTGTAAAAACATTACAACTGCCACAATGTGGAAGGCACTGAAAAACTTTTTCAAGAAAAAGGAAAGTTGTACTGGTGAAACCAGCAGCAGCAGCAGCGTCTCTTGGGGCTACGAGCTCAGGGACAGAGACCTGGGGAAGATCCACAAGGCGGCAGCACAGAGGGATTTGGTCAGAATAGAAAAACTTCTTACCAAAAAGAGGCGACGCATCAATAAGCAGGATAAGAAACAGAGAAGTGCTCTGCATATCGCGTGTGCTCTTGGATACGACGACGTGGTACAGTTACTTTTAGGAGTAAATGCAGATCTGAACCTTCGCGATGATAAAAATCAATCGGCCTTAATGAAGGCGGTGCAGGGAGGACATTGGACCTGTGTCCACATGCTCCTGCAGAACTGTGCAGATCTCACCCTGCGGGACAGTGAGGGAGACACAGCGCTGCACATGGCAGCGGGCACCTCGTGTGTGTCCATAGCTCAACTGCTCCTGGAGCGCGGGGCTCAGATAAATGTCCTTAATGGCCGTGGTCTTACCCCTCTGAGTGTGGCGCTCCGCCTGGACCACACTGACATGGTGAAGTTTCTTCTAAAGAACGGAGCAGATGCCAACGCCACTGATGGTTCCAACATAACTCCTTTAATGTTGGCTGCTGGAGGCGGCCAGGACCACATGCTGCCGCTGCTTTTAGCCAACGGTGCGGACGTCACTGTAGATGATTTCAGAGGATGGACCGCTGAGGTCTACGCCGTGAAAAAGGGACACCAGAGGTGTGCTGAGCTCCTCATCGCACACGCTAAACGCTCACGTGATGGAGCTTCTAAACAGGAGGATGAAGTGAAAGAGGAAGAGCGTGAACACTCCCTCAGCACTGCCTCCAGTAACAAGACATTAGAGGCTTCATCTGTGAACAAACTTGAAGACCAAAAGGAAAAGTTGATAAAACAGGTGCTGGGTAAATATGATTTTGACTGGGACTCTGACGACTCTTCTAATGAAGACGATGAGTCGTTCACAAAGAATCTAAAGAAAAACAACGACCAGCAAACATCTCCATCTGCAGCAGGAGGAGCTTCTGTGGAGCTCAGCACCATCACATCTCTCCCTAAGGTCCTACCTTCACGCAGAGTCCGGAAATATAAACCATATATTCGAACTTTCACACCGATGAGCCTGATTGAAGAGGAGGATGAAGAGGACGAGCCTGAGGAAGAGGACGAGCCTGAGGAAGAGGACGAGCCTGAGGAAGAGGACGAGCCTGAGGAAGAGGACGAGCCTGAGGAAGAGGCTTTGAGACTGGGATCAGAAGGTATCAGTGATGAGGGGTCGTCTTGTGACTTTGACTTCACAAACAGTCCTAAGAGGTACAGCCCCCAGCAAACAATCTCCATCTGAACCAGGACGAGCTTCTCTGGAGTTTGAGTTTGAACCAGGTCCTGGAGAGTCTCTCCCTGAGGTCTCCACCTCCATCAATGTCCCATCGTCTGGGTCGACTGGTTCCGCTGACTCGGACACAGAAGACCTGGAGAAAGTGGATTTGAAAAATGATCTTCAGGAAATTACAGAGACCAAGTCGACTCTGGAGCAGAATCATCTGGAGTTACAAAATGAGGAGAGTCGTCAGAATGATACAATGATGTGCGACGAGTTTAAAGAAAAGCTTCAGAGGAAGGAGGAGCAGCTTGAACACGAGAGACAAGAAAAACTGAAGATGGAAGTGAGACAACAAAAGCTGGAGCTCGAGATGAAAACCATGATGGACATGATGAAACAGCAAGAGGAGGCCCACCGTGAGACTCTGAGGCTTCTGGAGCAGGAGCACAGTGCACGAGCTCTTCAGGAAGGTGATGAGGTGTTCTTCATCTCACTGAGAGAAGATCTTCAGCGCTCACAGGCAAACAGCAGCCTCAAAGAGACACGCCTTTTACAAGAAAACAAGGCCCTTAAAAAGCATCTGGAAGAAGCTCTCAGTGAAATCACAGTGATAATTGAATCCCTGGAGCAGCAGCGCAGTGCACGAGAAAAAGAGATTCAGGAGGCGGCTAAGAGCAGGGCTCTTTTAGGTTTTCCAAAGATGGTTTACTTTTTTTTATTTATTTATTTATTAATTTTTTTTTATTATAGTTTTTTAGGATATACAAAATATGCATAACATTGTCTCCAACAACATATTTCACAGTTTTTACATTTGAACTATTCAGAGACAGAATATTTTGAGATTAAGATATATAAAATTTGAAAAATAAAAGAACAAAACAAAACAAAAGAACAAAACAAAACACCTGCATAGAAAATATACATGTGTACATATATAAACAATACACATACAATAACAAGAGCAACCTATAAATACACATACACTGACATTATAGGGCTGTCTCTATATTTACTTACCATTAAAATGGTCAATAAAAGGTTGCCATGTTGTGTAAAAAAGTTCTTGTTTATTTGTCAGTGAAAATTAAATTTTTTCCAATTGTAAATGTTGCATTATGTCTCTCTGAAGATTTTGATGGGTAGGGGGTTTTTTGCTTTTCCAGTTAAGTAAAATCAGGCGCCTGGCCAATAACGTAACATAGCTCAAGACATTCTTTTGCTTACTATTTAAACTCATATCAGGAGCTGGCACCCCAAATAGTGCCATCACAGGGTCCACCGGAAGTTGGGTCCCTAAAATCACTGAAAGAGTTTCAAATGTTCTCGTCCAGTAGAGAGTGATGTCCGGACAACTCCAGAATGTGTGAGACAAAGAGGCAGGACTATATCCACATCGTTCACAAGAAGGATCCACCCCTGGAAACATCCTGGACAGTTTGTGTTTAGAAAGGTGCAGTCTGTGTAGGATCTTAAACTGGATTAGTCCATGCTTACTACACACTGAGGAGGAGTGGACCCGTTCCTGAGCTTCAGACCACTGGTCCTCTGTGATGTTTATTGCTAAGGCACCGCACCAAGCCTCCTTCAAATGGTCCAAAGTGGCTGTACAGTCAAGTCGTGAGAGGTTATGATACACATTTGAAATAGAACCTTTTTCCAACGGATCCTGGAGCAACACCCTGTCCATGATATATTCCTCTGGCTGACTGGGGAAGGATGGAAAGGTCACTCTCGTGAGATCACGGATTTGCAAATATTTAAAAAAATCTTTATTATCTATTTTAAATTTTTGTTTTAATTGCTCAAATGTAGCAAAGGTCTTATTAATGAACAGATCTGCTATTGAGTGAATCCCTTTGAGGTCCCATTGTGTGAAGGTCCCATCTGAAAGTAATTTGTGGTCTAAACCAGGTCTAAACCAGGACTAAAACCAGGACTAAAACCAGGACTAAAACCAGGTCTAAACCAGGACTAAAACCAGGACTAAAACCAGGACTAAAACCAGGTCTAAACCAGGACTAAAACCAGGACTAAACCAGGACTAAAACCAGGACTAAACCAGGTCTAAACCAGGTCTAAACCAGGACTAAAACCAGGACTAAAACCAGGACTAAACCAGGTCTAAACCAGGACTAAACCAGGTCTAAACCAGGACTAAAACCAGGACTAAACCAGGACTAAACCAGGTCTAAACCAGGACTAAACCAGGTCTAAACCAGGACTAAAACCAGGACTAAACCAGGACTAAAACCAGGACTAAACCAGGTCTAAAACAGGATTTAACAGGACCATGTTGTGTGGACATGTTTCCTCGTCTTTTATCAATAATATTTTTTAATTTGGTTCAATAAAATTTGAACTTTTTATTTTCTTTTATCAAACAAAACTTCTTATGTGTAGATTTCCTCGTCTTTGCTTCTCTAGAGAAAATCAAGTAATCCAAAGTATTCAGATTACTTTACTCACTTTAAGTAACATAATGGATTCTGTTCCAAACCACATGTTGGTGTTTGTCTGTAACGTTTTAAAAATCACTTCCAACACTGGACACGACACAAAACCTTTAACAAGTCGTTAGAATAAAACGCAGCACTAACAGCCCCGGGTCTTTTGTGTTTTTAAAGGACTAAACCAGGACTAAAGCAGGACTAAAGCAGGACTAAACCAGGACTAAAGCAGGACTAAACCAGGACTAAACCAGGACTAAACCAGGACTAACCAGGACTAAAGCAGGACTAAACCAGGACTAAACCAGGACTAAAGCAGGACTAAACCAGGACTAAAGCAGGACTAAACCAGGACTAAACCAGGACTAAACCAGGACTAACCAGGACTAAAGCAGGACTAAAACCAGGACTAAAACCAGGACTAAAACCAGGACTAAAACCAGGACTAAACCAGGACTAAAACCAGGACTAAACCAGGACTAAACCAGGACTAAACCAGGACTAAACCAGGACTAAACCAGGGACTAAACCAGGACTAAACAGGACTAAACCAGGACTTAACCAGGACTAAAGGCAGGACCAGGACTAAAACCAGGACTAAAACCAGGACTAAACCAGGACTAAACCAGGACTAAACCAGGACTGAACCAGGACTAAAGCAGGACTAAAGGCAGGACTAAAACCAGGACTAAAACCAGGACTAAAACCAGGACTAAACCAGGACTAAAACCAGGACTAAACCAGGACTAAACCAGGACAAAACAGGACTAAAGCAGGACTAAAGCAGGACTAAAGCAGGATTAAACCAGGACTAAACCAGGACTAAACCAGGACTGAACCAGGACTAAACCAGGACTAAACCAGGACTAAACCAGGACTGAACCAGGACTGAACCAGGACTAAAACAGGACTAAAACAGGAAAACAGGACTAAACCAGGACTGAACCAGGACTTAACCAGGACTAAAGCAGGACTAAAACAGCAGGACTAAACCAGGACTAAACCAGGACTAAACCAGGACTGAACCAGGACTAAACCAGGGCTAAACCAGGACTAAACCAGGACTAAACTAGGGCTAAAACCAGGACTAAAACAAGACTAAAACAGGACTAAAGCAGGACTAAACCAGGACTGAACCAGGACTAAAACAGGACTAAACCAGGACTGAACCAGGACTAAAACAAGACTAAAGCAGGACTAAAGCAGGACTAGACCCGGATCTACACAGACTCTGAGAACTTGTGTTTTTAAAGGCGTCTGGACCAAATACTCGCAGGCCAGTCCCAACATCACGTCCATCATGTCGTCCCGTCCGAACCTGAGCTTCGCCGACAGCTGCCTGCTCCACCTCCGCCCCAAACCTGCGGCGCTGAAGATCCTGAGAGGAGCTTCAGACCCGGACCTGCCCTGGCCCGGCTTTTTACTGGGACAGACTCCGGCTTCTCTCTGGTAAATACAGTTTAGTCGTCAGGAATGAAAGTCTCCAGTCGTACAGAAAATAGAAGCATTGTGTGTTTTATCCGTCAGAAAACGAATGGAAAAGTTACAACATCAAGAACTACGGACATGAAATGAAAAATTACGATTTAAGTTTTCTGCAGTACGAACACGAATTCACACAAATACTGAACCAGGACTAAAACAGGACTAAAGCAGGACTAAACAAGGACTGAACCAGGACTAAAACAGGACTAACAGCAGGACTAAACAAGGACTGAAACCAGGACTAAAACAGGACTAAACCAGGACTAAACAAGGACTAAACCAGGAACTAACCAGGACTAAAACAGGACTGAACCAGGACTAAACAGGACTAAACCAGGACTAAACAGGACTAAACAAGGACTGAACCAGGACTAAAACAGGACTAAACCAGGACTAAACAAGGACTAAACCAGACTAAACCAGGACTAAACCAGGACTGAACCAGGACTAAACCAGGACTAGGAAACAGGACTAAACAGGACTAAACAGGACTAAACCAGGACTAAACCAGGACTAACCAGGACTGAAACCAGGACTAAACCAGGACTAAAACCAGGACTAAAACAGGACTAAAACAGGACTAAACCAGGACTAAAACCAGGACTAAACCAGGACTGAACCAGGACTAAAACCAGGACTAAAACAGGACTGAACCAGGACTAAAACAGGACTAAACAGGACTAAACCAGGACTAAACCAGGACTAAACCAGGACTAAACCAGGACTGAACCAGGACTAAACCAGGACTAAACCAGGACTGAACCAGACTGAACCAGGACTGAACCAGGACTGAACCAGGACTGAACCAGGACTGAACCAGGACTAAACCAGGACTAAACCAGGACTAAACCAGGACTGAAACAGGACTGAACCAGGACTAAAACAGGACTGAACCAGGACTGAAACAGGACTAAACCAGAAACAGGACTAAACCAGGACTAAACCAGGACTAAACAGGACTGAAACCAGGACTAAACCAGGACTGAACAGGAACCAGGACTAAAACAGGACTTAACCAGGACTAAACCAGGACTTAAACAGGATTAAAACAGGACTTAACCAGGACTAAAACAGGACTTAACCAGGACTAAAACAGGACTAAACCAGGACTAAACCAGAACTGAACCAGGACTAAACCAGGACTGAACCAGAACTGAACCAGGACTGATCCAGAACTAAGACTGTCAGTTTTACGTTATATAAAACTTGTTCTGGTAAATCTCCGTGGAGTTCACCAGAAAAGTCCCACAGTGTGTCTTTAAAAACAGGTGCAGGACTTGCAGGACGACTTGACTGCAGCCCAGTCACAGTGCGACCATGACCAGAGTGGGAACATCTGTGTGTTTTGTGCAGGTATTGGTGTGCAGACCAGGTGATCGTGCAGAGAGTTCTTGCCGCTAAAAACATGGCTCACGTCAAAGGCTCCACCATCATGGCCGGGTTCCTGAAGATCCTCCCCATGTTCATCATCGTTATCCCAGGTACAACAACTCACAACCAAACCAAACCGCTCAAGTGCAGGTTTTTAGGTTTTTTATTTGGATTGTGGCCTGGTTTAGTGGGAAAGTACCAGTATCACAGTCAATAATGTAGTTTTACACATGTATAGACTCTTTATATAAATGGACATAGTGGGCGTGTTCCAAACAGGAAGTGAGCATGGGGGCATTTCCGGCTCCATCGACTCCCCTTCATGAAAAATTGTCCCCTTCTCTCTGTAACTGCCGCTGTGAGCCTCGTTATTTGGGGTTAAAATGTTCGTATTAACCCTCTTTAAGTGATCCTCGTGTTTTTATTTCGCAAATTTTGTCCGTAAATCAATTCTGTGGCTCCAAATTGGATCTGAGGCTGTGGAAAAGTCTGTGTTATTATTATATAAAATATGAATCAAAAGCAAATGACTAAAGACTGACACAGACTTTTCCACAGCCTCAGGTCGTTTCTCTTCACTGGTTTTACAGAGTTTTGTTAAAGTTGCTGTCGTCATCTGAGCGAAAATGACATCATATCATTTCCGCAAAAATAATAATTAATAATTTTATATTATATTTGTTCAAATTATCCGTTAATTGCGATTAATTAATTACAGTCATATTTTAGCGCGTTATGTTTTTTAATCGCGTTAATCTCATTTTTAATCTCTAACTTTATGTTTCGTATGTGAGTTTTTTTATTATAAAAACCTGTTTTTATTGTTGTTGGGGAAACAGCACACAAAAAAACACATTTATACATTTTTTTATTTCGGTAATTTCCATTCATTGCCGGAAAGCCACACAAAAAAGCGCGCAGTAAAGCGATGTAAACGTCATGTTAACGTTGGGCGGTCAGTCACACAATGGAGAGGTTGAATGAGCCAGTGAACAAGCAGCAGTGCACAGGTAAAAATGCATTTGTGTTCTTGGAAATTATTCTCCCGACGTGAAATATAAAGAAAAAATAACAAATATAAAATCGCCTTTGAAAACAACCTGCATTAGACTCATGGTCGTCTGCACGAACTGTTCTATTAGTGACCTGCCACATGAGGGACACGCACACAAACACACACAAACACACACAAAACACACACACACACAAACACAACTTTCATCATGTCATTAACCTGAGAACGCGCAGACCAGTTTCCTTCCGTAGTTACTGCCGGACACCGACGTGCTCCCGTGAGCCGCGGTGTGGATGTTTTTCTCGCGTACGCGGCTGTAAACCGCGCTTCCTCCTGTAGCCTCTAAACCAGAACTAACACCAAGACTAAAACCAGGACTAATCCAGGTCTAAACCAGGACTAAACCAGGACTAACCAGGACTAAACCAGGACTGAACCAGGTCTAAAACCACCAGGACTAAACCAGGACTAAACCAGGACTAAACCAGGACTAAACCAGGACTAAACCAGGAGGTCTAAACCAGGTCTAAACCAGGACTAAAACCAGGACAAAACCAGGACTAAACCAGGACTAAACCAGGTCTAAACCAGGACTAAACCAGGACTAACCAGGACTAAACCAGGTAAACCAGGACTAAACCAGGACTAAACCAGGTTCTAAACCAGGACTAAACCAGACTAAACCAGTTTCAAACAGGACAAACTGATCTAATTCACTGTGCGTTACTATTTTTGTGTTTCAGGGCGACGTAGGTTATTTATTTATTTTAGTTTTTTGTCGACGTGGGTTATGTGACCCCAAAGGTCGTCTAAAGTCGTCAGATGTGAACAGGAGGGACAGAGGGACGACTTCTGCAGCTGGAAATACAAACATTATTTTGATTTGGAAACAGAAAGGTTCGTTGTTCACTCTGTGCTGGAGACAAAGTGTCGTCTGCTTCAAGAAGGGGGTGGTAAAAGTAGTCAGTAACTTAACTAAGTTACTTTTTAAATAAGTAATCAGTAGTCAGTAGTCAGATTACTATTTCAAAGTAACTATGGCAACACTGACCAGGACTTAACCAGGACTAAACCAAATAGGTCCACGACCAGACTGGGAATGGGACCAGGATTTAGACCAGGACCAGACCTGGACCAGGACCAGGACTGAGACCAGGACTGAGACTGAAAACCGAAACGTCATTTTTTCCATTTTTCATTTAAACACAAAATCGAAAACTGAAAAAACGAATCATTATCTGTTTTTTCATTTTGGTTTTGGAGACAAATAATGAAGAAAATTGTAGTTTTTTCGTTTTCTTATTTTTGGTTTTATTTTGAAAAACGAATGAACGACCGACACACAGATTGTTTAAACCTGTCGTTGTTCTTTCAGGGATGATCTCTCGCATCTTCTTCGCGGACGACCTGATCTGCATCAGCCCGGAGCACTGCGCCGAGGTGTGCGGCTCCCCGGCCGGCTGCACCAACCTGGCCTACCCGCGCCTGGTCATGTCCGTGCTGCCGGTCGGCCTCCGCGGCCTGATGCTCGCCGTCATGATCGCCGCCCTCATGAGCGACCTGGACTCCATCTTCAACTCCGCCAGCACCATCTTCACGCTCGACGTTTACAAGATGCTTCGCGCGCGGGCCACGTCGCGCGAGCTGCTGATCGTGGGCAGGCTGGCCGTGGTTTTCGTCGTCGTCATCAGCATCGCGTGGGTACCGGTTATAATCGAAATGCAAGGCGGGCAGATGTTTTATTACACGCAGGAAGTTAGTAATTATCTAACGCCGCCGATCGCTGCCATGTTCTTGCTCGCCGTTTTGTGGCATCGCTGTAACGAAACCGGAGCTTTTTGGGGAGCGCTGACCGGATTCGTACTCGGGACGGTGAGACTCGCGTTGGCGTTTGTTTACCGTGAACCGCACTGCGACCAACCGGACACCAGACCGAGCTTCATCAAAGACGTTCACTTCATGTACGTGGCGGCCGTTTTGTTTTGGATTTCTGGTTTGGTTACAGTCGTCGTGAGTTTGTTAACGCCGCCTCCGACCGAAGAGCAAATCCAAACGGCCACTTTTTGGGGACTGCGTAATCGGAAGAAGCGAATATTACCCGAAAGCAACGAATTGAAACCGTTAAACGATCCGGAAGTGAACAGCAACGCGAATCTAAACGGTAAAACGCCGACAAGCGAGTGCAGCGCTGCGGAAATCCAAAACCGACGCCCGAAACAGAACGATGTCATCGCGAATTCAAAATGTCTCCGAGTCGTTAACTGGTTTTGCAAGATTAACGAAGATCCGGCCTCCACGTACAAACCGAGCGCGCAGGAGCAAGAAAGAATGGTGGACGAACTTCTCTACGAATCGCCGAAAATGAAGATTGTGCTCAACTTTGCTTTGGCGTTGATTTGTGGAGTTGGAGTGTTTCTTTTTGTTTATTTCACGTTGTAAATTTTGTAGATTTAAACGGACTCTTGTGAGTTTTGAGTCCGGTTTTGTGAGTTCGTCGTAAACAGAGCTGGAGTTGTGTTTTGTTTTGTTCACACATGTTTGAGTAACTCTTTATTATCAGTAGTGCAAAAATGTTGAAATATCGATACATCGTTTAAACTGATGATACATGGGCTGTTTTATCGAGTATTATTTGGTTTATTTTACTAAATTATTTTGTGACAACGCTACAGTTTTGTGTAGTGTGTGTAATTCTGGCATAAACCAAGTCTAATCTAGGTCTAAACCAGGACTACACAAGGACTACACCAGGTCTAAACTACATCTAAACCAGGACTAAATCAAGTCTAAACCAGGACTAAACTAAACCAGGATTAAACCAGGTCTACGTGTGTAAACTCGTCTCTGGGTCTTCTTCTTGTCCTGGTCCGGGTCCTGGTCGCTCTGGAGCACAGGTGTCAAACATAAGGCCCGGGGGCCGGATCCGGCCCTCCTTTAATTTTTAATTTAATTATTTTATTAAATTTTTTTAAGACCTTTAATCTGGCCCTCGGCTGATTTTCTACTAAAATATTGTAATTATATTTTCTATTAAAATCTTATTAATTTTCTGTGGTGTTTATCACAGCAGCGTCTCCAGCGTCTCTGTACGTGGCCCCTCCCACCAGAGCAGCACAAATGAAGACTTGTCTCTTTCCAAACGCTCTTAAAGGACGATCGTTTTGACTGTTGACCGTGACACCCTCATCAGAAAAATGTCCAACATGAGAAAAGTGGAGCCGAGTGCAGAATTTTACAACAAAAATTGACTTATTCCTGTTTACAAACAAGTTATTTTTAAAACTTTGTGTTGAAATTACATTTTTCTTAAAGTTTCAGGTTGTTCATGATATTATAATATTTTGTAAAAGTTCATCAATTAAAAAAGATTTCTGTAATAGATTTGTGTTTCTCTGCACAAATATTTGAACTTATTTTATAAGTTATTTTTGGGGTTTATATGACATGAGTTTTCTGATCCGGACACTTTGGGATCAAAGTCGGTCGGATACGACCCCCGGAACAAAATGAGTTTGACTCTCCTGGTCTAGAGACTTTGAGTAAATCTTCGTTTTGTTTCTTTCGTGTCTGTGGGACTTTCTTCTTCTTCTTCTTCATCTTCTTCTTTGTACAAACCTGCTCAAACGAGTCTTTTCACGTTTCCTCAGTCGCCCGGAGCCTGAAGAGTCTCGTGAGCGTCTGCTTCAGGATCTTCTCACCGTCTGGGCTCCGACGGAAAGTTACTGCGAGGAGATGGAAAAGTACTCAAGATGTTTGCACAATATATTTGAGTGTGTTTACCCGCAGGAGGAACGCACTTCATACTCGTGTTTGTCGAGTGTCGTCGTGTCCAAACTTTGGCAGCAAATTATTTTGACTAAAACGTCTTTTAAGGTCCAATATTAAACAAAACTAAACTCTCGACTCTTGTGGGGTTTAAGTCAAGTTTTAATGCTGTTTCCGCCGCAAAAACAGACCTGGAGTTGTGTTTTGTTTCTTTGTTATTTGTTTTTCTGCATCTCCAAAGCTCAAAATACTCTGTTCCACCTTGTGATGTCATGAAGTGGTGGTTTAAGTAAGTTAACAGCTCCTTTTACCTTTTACAGATTATAGCAGAACCTCACCGCATTTTAGTCCTGGTTTAGACCTGATTTAGACCTGGTTTAGATGATATTTTAGATGTGGTTTAGACCTTTTTTTAGACCTGGCTTAGAACTGGTTTGGAACTGGTTTAGAACTCCTTTTTTAGACCTGGTTTAGACCTGATTTAGACCTGTTTTAGACCTGATTTAGACCTGGTTTAGACCTGATTTAGATCTGGTTTAGATTATATTTTAGACCTGTTTTAGTCATGTTTTAGACCTGGTCTAGATGTCTTTTTAGACCTGGTTTAGACCTCCTTTTTTAGACCTGGTTTAGTCCTGTTTTGGTCCTGTTTTAGACCTGTTTTAGACCTGGTTTAGACCCGATTTAGACCTGGTACAGAATTGGTATAGAACTGTTTTAGACCTGGTTTAGAACTGGTTTAGATGATATTTTAGACCTGTTTTAGACCTGTTTTAGAACTGGTTTAGATGATATTTTAGACCTGTTTTACACCTGTTTTAGACCTGGTTTAGACCTCGTTTTTTAGACCTGTTTTAGTCCTGTTTTTAGACCTGGTTTCGTCCTTGGTTTAGTCCTGGTTTAATCCTGGTCTTAGTCCTCGTTCAGACTGACCCAGAATAGAGTTAAAATGGTGGAATACGTTAAATTCTAAACAAAAATCTCTCACAACAGGAACTTATGTGTCTCTGATAACTTTACTAATTTTCTAAAAAAAAAATAAATAAATAAAATAATAATAAAAAATATCTTTTTTTAAAATTACGATTGCTTTATTAAATCAGATTAGTTCTACAAAAAAAAATGTGTATTTAAATAAACACATTTCGTACTATTTGAGTGAGATTTTTATAGATAAATTTAGTGGAATATTTTTTCTTTACCGAGTTTGTGGTGTAAAGTTGAAGTGATGTAAATGACGAGGTCCAGACTGAAGCAGAAACACAAACACGAATCTGAAACCACATCACAAACACACACAACTATTTGCATTTTATTTACAACTTTTGCATTAAAAATACACTGTGTAACTTTTCTTGTGCCAGTTTCTTGTTTCCATGGAGATATTCCTGTTTTCTCTGGTGTAAAATCTGTAATATGACATGAAATATTTGTAGTATCTGACTTTTATTTCTGCAGGTTTTGGTTGTGAAACGTGAGCAGACTGGTTCCCCGCGGGATCTGACCTGTACTTTTACCTGCTGGCGCCACCTGCTTGTCTCCATGGAGATAGATAAATTTAATGCCGTACTGTGGGATAATCCGTGTTATCGTATTGAATTGAAGTTTGGTTAGTCTGGTTTAGACCTGGTTTTGTTTTAGACCTGGTTTAGCCTGGTTTAGACCTGGAGTCCTGGTTTATGGTTTAGTCCTGGGTTTAGTCCTGGTTTACCTGGTTTAGTCCTGGTTTTAGACTTGGTTTAGACCTGGTTTAGACCTGGTTTAGTCCTGGTTTAGACCTGGTTTAGTCCTGGTTTAGACCTGGTTCAGTCCTGGTTTAGTCCTGGTTTAGTCCTGGTTTAGTCTGGTTTAGACCTGGTTTAGTAGACCTGGTTTTCTGGTTTAGTCCTGGTTTAGTCCTGGTTTAGACCTGGTTTCACCTGGTTTAGACCTGGTTTAGACCTGGTTTAGACCTGGTTTTAGACCTGGTTTAGACCTGGTTTAGACCTGGTTTAGTTTAGTCCTGGTTTAGACCTGGTTTAGACCTGGTTAGTACCTGGTTTACCTGGTTTAGTCCTGGTTAGTCCTGGTTTAGTCCTGGTTTAGACCTGGTTTAGTCCTGTTTAGTGGTTTAGTCCTGGTTTTAGACCTGGTTTAGTCCTGGTTTTGTCCTGGTTCCTGGTTTAGTCTGGTTTCCTGGTTTAGACCTGGTTTAGTAGACCTGGTTTAGTGTTTAGACCTGGTTTAGTCCTGGTTTAGTCCTGGTTTAGACCTGGTTTTAGACCTGGTTTAGTCCTGGTTTAGTCCTGGTTTAGTCCTGGTTTAGACCTGGTTTAGACCTGGTTTAGTCCTGGTTTAGTCCTGGTTTTAGACCTGGTTTCAGTCCTGGTTTAGACCTGGTCACCTGGTTTAGACCTGGTTTAGTCCTGGTTTAGACCTGGTTTACCTGGTTTAGACCTGGTTTAGACCTGGTTTAGTCCTGGTTTAGACCTGGTTTAGTCCTGGTTTAGTCCTGGTTTAGACCTGGTTTAGACCTGGTTTAGTCCTGGTTTAGACCTGGTTTAGACCTGGTTTAGTCCTGGTTTAGACCTGGTTTAGTCCTGGTTTAGTTTCTGGTTCCTGGTTTATCCTGGTTTAGACCTGGTTTAGACCTGGTTTAGACCTGGTTTAGACCTGTTTAGTCCTGGTTACCTGGTTTAGACCTGGTTTTAGTCCTGGGTTTTAGTTAAATGGTTTAGTCCTGGTTTAGACCTGGTTTAGACCTGGTTTCTGGTTTCTGGTTTAGACTGGTTTAGTTCCTGGTTTTTTAGTCCTGGTTTTAGACTGGTTTAATGGTTTTAGTTAAACCTGGTTTAGACTGGTTTTAGTCCTGGTTAAAACAAAAAGTGAAACTTAGTTTAAACCCAAAAATTAATTTAGTGATTTTGATTTTAAAAATTAGTTGCTTTAATTGCAAAATACTTTTACTTTTTACTCTTAAAGCACATTTTTAAACTTTAACACTTTCACTTAAGTAGATTTTCTCATGTCATACTTTTATTTTTACTTGAGTAATCTTTTACAGGTCAGATCTGTGGAGAGGCGACCGCGCTCACAGTCAGAATTCTTGTTTTATTTGGTATTTTTCAGCTTTAAAACCACCTGGAATTGAATAAACGTAAAGTTGAGCTGTTTAAAGTTACACTGTGGAACATTCCGGGCACAGCACTGACATCTCCATGGACCGTCAACCAAAAAGTTACACAGTGCAGCTTTAAAACACGTCAAATCTCTAGTAAAAATTCAAGGGTAAATACAAATACATTCTTGTTATAGGTGCCATTTTGAGGACTTTTCACCATTCTAAAGATGTAATATTTAGTTTTAAATTGTTAATCGCTATGGAAACAGGCTTACTTTTTCGTCATGCACTCTGAAAGCCACGGATAAAAGCGATTTTTGCATTTGCATTTTACATAAAACAAAAAATAAATAGCAGAAAAAAAAATATATGTGGAAAAATACAAGGCCTTGAATAAATTTGGGCCTAAAATTGAAGTTATATTAAAAGGTGAGAAAAGAAGCAAATTTACAGTGAGTTAAATGGATTATAACGCGTGGAAATGTGCGTGTGCGGAGCGTTGGATTGTTTTGATGCCGGAGTGAGTCAGCCTGCATCATTATCCTGTTTTTTATCCGCACAGTAAAAATGTCGCGATAAAAAGTGACAGGAATCTCGCGATGTCTTCATTTAATAACAAAGTGGAGCCGTGAAGCGCGCGGGGTTCACGCGGAGAAAGACGCGCGGGGGTAAACAAAGACTTTCAAAATAAAAGCGGACGTGAACGGCACGGCGGTCACTATGGCAACTGCAAGAAAATAAATAAAATACAAATAAATAAATCGATAAAATAAATAAATAGATCAATAATAATAATAATAATAATTGTGATGAACTGTTAATCGTTATTTATTATACAACTGTAGAACTCTCCCTTGTGTAACAGATAATACTCCCTACAACCATACAACTACTTTATAGAACAGATAATACTCCCTACAACTGTACAAAAACTCACCTTTGCGGAACAGATAATACTCCCTACAACTGTGCAACAACTCACCTTTATGTAACATAATACTCCCTACAACTATATAACAACAGATAATACTCCCTACAACTGTACAGCAACTCACCCTTATGTGAGAGATAATACTCCCTACAACTGTACAACTCACCTTTATGTAAGAGATAATACTCCCTACAACTGTACAACTCACCTTTATGTAACAGATAATACTCCCTACAACTGTTTAACAGCATATAATACTCCCTACAACTGTACAACTCACCTTTATGTAACAGATAATACTCCCTACAACTGTACAACTATTCACCCTTATGTTACAGATAATACTCCCTACAACTGTACAACAACAGATAATACTCCCTACAACTGTGCAACAACTCACCCTTATGTAACTGATAATACTCCCTACAACTGCACTATGCAAAAAAACACAAAAAACATAGTGTTATTTTAAGTGAAAAACTAGGCCTGAACTCATTCTGTCTCCATGGAAACAACCAGCCAGGTGCCAGGTTACAGGTTAAGTCTGTGGAAAGGCGAATTCGCTCCAAGTAAGAAATGAATGTGTGATTTTTGGAGCAATAAAAACGCTCGTTATTTATATTTTGTCTTGTCATGTCTTGTTGTTGTTATTGTTTTTTTTTTTGTTTTTTTTTTGTTTTTTTTTTAGTGCTGCAAAATGACCGAATAAACTAACACTAATAATAACGAATAATAATAATAATTCTTATTTCGAATTTTTATTTTGTTTCTTTCCCGGATGTTCGTCGTGCTCAATATTTATCCCTTTTCTGCAGCATCACCGCTACATCTCTGGAGCAAAAAAAAAAAAAAAAAAAAAAAAAGCGAGAGATCAGCTGAGTTTGATGAAGCTTTTAGAGCCTAAACACTCCCGAATTCCCGTGTGCTTATTTTGGATTTTTTATTCCGCATTCGCCGAGCTCAAAGTTCTACAGATGCTGAAGTTTTAGGAACGGGACACGAGTCGAAAAAAACCCCAAAACAAAACAATAACTCGCATCAAACCCGGCTAACAAAGAGGTCCCAATTCAACGCCAACATTTTTCCTCCATACTCCATAGTTATGAGTCATGTGGCCGTCGAAAATGCACACGGTCTAGAGCAGCAGGTAAGACATTTTATATGTTTTCCCCGTCGCGATTTGATTAAAAATGTTGCAGGAAAAACAACGAAAATTTTGCAGCGTGCCGGGTTAGCCTCGGGATGCTAACGGGGATGCTACAATGCTAAGTGGCTCTGGGGGGGCGTTCGATTTGCTCACCGGCGAAGCGCAAAAGCGAGCACTCGTCGGCGGTTGACCTAGTTTGTTACACAATTATAACAAATTCTGCTATTTTTTCTTCCTAATAATTTAACATATCCAAACGACACTTTATTTACATACGTATTATTTATTCGTTAGGTGTGAGTTGAAATGTTTGACTGCGTACGAGCGAAAAATGAAATAAACGGTATGGTTTATATTGCAGCGTCTGTTTGGCTGGTAGTGGTGCGCAAAAGAAACCCACCCGCAAACTAATATCTTCACTGCGTTTGTCTCTTCAGTAATAAAATTGGAGCTTTGCAGACAAGAGTCAAACGCCACGGAAAAAACTCCCAAACTAAACTCCCCCGAGCGGTTTAATCGGTGATAAATACAACAGTTCTGACAGACGCATCGCTCGGGAATAATTGCACATTTCTTCTGCGTCATCAGTAACGTAGACAACGCCATTTAGTCACAGTCAAGTACAGCGTGTCCCCCGTAAAACTTCACCAAACAAATTTTAAATCACTTTCTTCTCGGTAATATTCATGCAATTTAGTGCTTTGCGTAAGGACCGTTTCGTGTGGTTTCGCCAACTTTGAGAAGGGAGCCCGTACTTCGTCAGTTATTGCCAAGAAGTGTCCACAGTTTATCTCTGCAAGCACTCAAAAGTTTATTTATTTATTTGTTTATTTGTTATTTTTATACGTACAGATTCAAGAGTAAAAAATTATTTGGTTTACAGTATCAAATTTATGTAACTCATTAAAATTATGCATTCACAAAACGTTCGATATTGTTATTATTAGTCGCCGGGTATCGTTAAGAAGTCGCCGATACGATACACAGACAACGATACGGTATGCTTGCGATTGGATATATTTAACTTCGATTCGATACGGTTCAATATAAAATTAAGGCTGTGATACTAAATGTCTTTGTTAAACCGCTTCTCGTGCAAAGTTAAAATGAAACGCAAACATTTTAATCATCAAAACAGTGAAAATGTCAAATGTGTCGCATAAATGAGTTTTCTTCAACTAAACAAGCAACAAAACTAGCTGGAACAAAATAATTTGCTCACCGGCAAAGCGAAAAGCGAGCAATCGTCGGCGGTTGACCTAGTTTGTTACACAATTATAACAAATTCTGCTATTTTTTCTTCCTGATAATTTAACATATCCAAACGACACTTTATTTACATATTATATACATATATTTATTTATTATTTTTATACGTACCGATCCAAGAGTAAAAAATGATTTGGGTTACAGTATCACGTTTATATAACTCTCTAAATATTCTTATTATTAGTCGTAAATAAGGCCGAGTATCGTTAAAAAGGTGCCGGTACGATACATACCGCGATACATTGGCCACGATACGATATGCTTTCGATACGATATATTTCACATCGTTTCGATACGGTTCAATAAAGATAAAGTCTAAATCATGGCTGTGATACTAAAAGTCTTTGTTAAACCACTTCTTGTGCAAAGTTAAAATGAAACACAAACATTTTAATCAACAAAACAGTGAAAATGTCAAATGTGTCGCATAAGAGTTTCCTTCCTCTGAGCAGACAACGAAACTGTAGCTGTAACAAAATAATTTAGTAAAATATACCAAAAAATACTCTTGGCGATATATCGATACAGCAGCCCACAATATCGATACTTTATCATCACATTAAGCGATACGATATTTCATTATTTTTGCACACCCCTAGTTATTATTAGTAGTAAATAGGGCCGGGTATCATGAAGAAGTTGCCGATACGATACCTCGATACATAGGCTGCGATACGATATGCTTCTCGATACACTGAACTTTAGATTCAATGTGATTCGATACGGTTCAGACAAAAACAAAGGCTAAATTGTGGCGCTGATACTAAAAGTCTTTATAAAACCACTAAGTTCATATGAAAACACCCATTTTACTCAAAAAAGTGAAACTGTCAACACAACTGTAGCTCTTACACAAATTAATTTAGTAAAATATACCTAAAAATACTCTTGATGATATTGATTGTATTAACAGATTAAACGATACGATATATAAATATTTTTATATTTTTGCACACCTCTAGTAGTAAACTATTAATAAATAAGTAAAAAAAAAACATAGATCAGACCTCGGGTGACCATGTTAAACTAGAACACCCCCGGTTTGTCGTTGTTGGTAAAAATAAAATTGTGAAACGAGTGCATAATTAAGGCAAATTGTTCTGCACTCGGCCCATTCATGACTTACTCACGACAAACATGTGAGTCAGTACAGTCACATTTTTCTTTGTGTTTTGGTCGTTTTTAAGCAGCTTTTCTGTGTTTTACCGAAACAAATAACAGTTTACGTCTCGCTTTGACTGCTGGCAGGGATCAAATGATTCAAAAATGAGTACATCTGAGTCATTTCTTGTATAAAACTGGGACAAATCAACGGGGTTTGGATAAATCTGCTGGGCTTAAACCTGGGACTGTCCTGGGTAAATGAGAGACGTCTGGTCGCCCTAATCAGAAAAAAAATGTTAGTAAAAATGTTAAAAATGTTTAGTACAAGAATTTCAGTGTCAAAATCTTTAAAAGCAAAATGAACAGACTTTACTATCCATCAGAATTATGAAGAGTTTGAACTGTTGCCATGGCGATTAACAATTAAACACCAAATATTATGTTGTTTTGAATGAATTTTTAGTTTTCCAAATGGCACCATGTATCGGAAACTGTTCTGAAAATACAGTCTGAATATGAAATCTCGACAATTTGGGTGCATTAATTCAGCTGTTCTTTTTGGTCCTGGTCTGAGCTTAGTTTAGTCCAGATGAAGACATGTTTTGGTCCTGGTCTAGTCCTGGTTTAGTCCCAGTTTAGTCCCAGTTTTGACATGGTCTGTACATAATTATTAACATAAAAATAAATATGGAAAACTTGTCATTTCCAGTTGGTCTGTGCATAAATACAGGACTTTTTACCATTCAAAAGCTCCAATATTTAGCTTTAAATTGATAATCGCCTGGCAATTTTTCAAACTTTCTGGAACCCGTGGACTGGATTTGTTTTTGACTCCCAAAAACTGTGCATAATTAATAAAGAGCTTTTATGTTTGTTTTGCAGCTCGCTGTCCTAGACTTGAACGCACCAGACGGGCAGGGCGGGGGCACAAGCAGTGAGTACACACTTTAATATTTTTGTGTTTTTGTTATTATTATTTGTTTTTATTAATGTTATTAGAAAGTTATTACATTTATTTTGAGTTTTATGAGCATTTATTGTTTTGCTCTTTGTTTTTATGTTGTAATATGAGCCCTGCTGTGATTTCTTGGCGCAGAATGACTTGGTAAAAATACTGAATTTTAATTTTTCTGAACTGACAAACTAAAACGAGAGTCAGGTTTCAGGTTTCACGTTTGCACAGATCTAAACTCCAGAGTCTGCAGCTTTTATGCAGAATAAAACTGGAGATTTTGTGGCTTGTGGAGGAAATTACGGGACTTAAAAAAAAACAAAAAAAACTGCAGCCTTTGAGATTTGCTGATTGCGTCCGTTTAAAGAGCGATTTCGATCTTGTGACTCAAAGCACCGTGATAATATGAAGTATTTTAATTTGAGATAAACATTAAAGCTCTTATATTACACAAAATGGACTCTTGTGAGGTTTAAATCGTGTTTTAATCTAGTTTCCTTCTCAAAAACAGACCTGGAGTTGTGTTTTGTTTCAGTCACACACGTTTGCGTAAAGTACGAGTAACAATATCCAAATCTCTCGATACAATATTTTCACGATATCCATCTCACGGTACGATATTTATTGCGATATTTTGGAGAGACTGATATAATTGTAGGTAGATGTGACACTTTTTTGCTTTTAAAATAACTTGACAAGATTTTGGTGTGAATTATTTCCATCATAATCTCAAGAATTCCATGTCAAAAACATATGTCTTCCTGTTGTCTGCGCTGAAATGAATCATGGGAAATGTAGTTTACGATGTTTATAAGCTGCTGATACTGTAAAACCTGCATTTAAGACAGGGGTGTCAAACATACGGCCCGGGGGCCAGATCCGGCCCTCCGAGACCTTTAATCTGGCCCTCGGCTGATTTTCTACAAAAATATTTTTATTCTATTTTCTATTAAAATGTTGTTAATTTTCTGTGGTGTTTATCACAGCAGCGTCTCCAGCGTCTCTGTACGTGGCCCCTCCCACCAGAGCAGCACAAATGAAGACTTGTCTCTTTCCAAACGCTCTTAAAGGACGATCGTTTTGACTGTTGACCGTGACACCCTCATCAGAAAAATGTCCAACATGAGAAAAGTGGAGCCGAGTGCAGGATTTTACAACAAAAATGGACTTATTCCTAACTTATTAAAACATTCTGTTGAAATTGTATTTTTCTTAAAGTTTCAGGTTGTTCATAATATTATAATATTTTGTAAACGAAACGGTTCATCAATTAAAAAAGATTTCTGTAATAGATTTGTGTTTCTCTGCACAAATATTTAAACTTATTTTTATTTTTGGGGTTTATATGACATGAGTTTGGGATCAAAGTCGGTTGGATACGACCCCCGGAACAAAATGAATTTGACTCTCCTGATTTAAGCAAAGGAACTCGATCCACGATATTATTGTAAGAACTTTGACGATACGATATCACGATATTTCAGTTATTGTTACATCCCTACTGTCTACAATTATATCAGCCTCTCTAAAATATCGCAATAAATATCGTACCGTGAGATACCGATGACTCAAACATGTGTGAATGAAACAAAACACAACTCTAGGTCTGTTTATGAGGAGGAAATAACTATCAGGAATAATTATCTGGTCTGTTTGTGACGAGGAAACTAAATAAGAATCACAGAGATCAGTAAATCTTGTACATTTTTGATTAATACGTGTTTTGTTTTCAGGGCGATACATTCCTCCACATTTACGGAACAAAGATCCTTCCAAAAATGGTGAGTCGACCGGCGAACACACACACACACGTCTCCTCAGCGTGTTTGTTACTACAGCCCTGGTCTAAATCTGTTTTTCTCTATTTATTTATCTCTGCAGCAGGAAATGCTTTTGTTCCACGTCAGGGAGCGTACCCCATGGCTCCAGCCGCCAACTGTAAGAACGCAGCATTTACTCTAGTCGCTTTGCTCCCTTTTGTTTCGAAAACCGATTCACTTTGTAATCGCGCAGAATAATTAAACAGGGAGTCGCAGCGCTTCACGTTTCATCCACGGTCACATAAAATAGTCTTTTGTTAGAGCAGGACTGGGTCAGACCTCAGGGAACACACGGCGGATAAACTGTTGTTGTGTCTTTAGGCAAAACACTTCACTGACATTGTCCAGAATGAAAGTGACGTGTGTGTGTTTGTGTTTTTGATGGTGCAGCCTCACTTCTGTTTAGTCTGTCCCAGGGCATCTGTGACTAAAATTTTGAGTTAATTTTTTTGCTTTTTGTTTAAATTAAAGACAACAGAGTATAACATTTAACACCAGACAATAATCAACACATTTTGTCACAGTTTTCAATGGCAAAATGTGTGTGTAAATGTGTAAATGTGTGTGTAAATGTGTGTCATATTCAGTTTCATAAATCTGCTCCATCACCAAATCTTCAACCAACAAACTCCACAAAGGAGAAACATTCTAACATGAACAATTTATCCACAACGATCAAGGGAAGAAAGAACAAAACTTAAAGGAAACAACGACGACGCATCAGTGACACAATGAACTAAACTAAGGTTATGATCATGAATAAAACTGAAGTAATAAGTGATTTATTAATAAGTCACTTGTTCACTCAGACTGATTCTAGAATTAACATTAAAAAATCGATTTCATGATGTAGATATTTGCATAGACGGATAGAGATTTGTCCAGGTCGAATGTTAGAGATGTTCACAGATTACATGTCTAACATTTAAACTGCACAAATCTCTCTATGTTAATATCTACTAGAATGATTCATCAGACGGTTTCACTTGGTGGAAACTGTGTGACCTCGCAGCGTTAGGATTCATTCGCTCGACAGTGGGCGGGGACTTTTTTTATTTAACTAATCGCTGCTGTTTGGTCCTGACGTATGTAATGCGCCAAATCCCGTAGAAAGGAGGACAATAACGTCTTTCTCCTTGATGAAATTCACTAAACATTCTCTTTTTTTTTTTTTTTTTGGTTGGTTTATTTATTTCATTCGTAAACTATAAAAAGACATCAGCAGTGTTACAACATCAAACATGCAAGAAATGAATGAAAAGGAGCAGAGGGAAAAATCGTCTTATTTTATCTGCCCTCACCCTTTCCTTTCCTTTTCAAGACAAAACATCAACACCGATAGTTACTTTAAAACATTTCAAATCAGTACATTTCAGCTCAGACACAACTATTGAGCAATTGCAAACTCTTTATTACGGCTTTAAATCCTCGATCTCGGGAATTGTTGTCAACACAGAATGTCTGACTCTTCGCTGATTGGCTGGTGCCCGAACTCGTACGTCCAGGGTTTTTGCGAACCGTCTGTTGTATTCGGATTCTTGATCTAGTCACTGGAGAGAAATGAAACTGAGCGGAGGCGCTGCATCGTGAAATCGTTTTTTTAACGTTAATGTAAGAATGCAGAATCAGTCTGAGTGTTCAGTGTGTCACTGAGGCGTCGTCGTCGTTGTTTTAAGTTTTGTTCTTTCTTCTCTTGATGTTGTGGATAAATTGTTCATGATAGAAAGTTTCTCCTTTGTGGAGTTTGTTGGTTGAAGATTTGGTGATGGAGCAAATTTATGAAACTGATGGAGAAAACGACACACACTTACACACACACACACATTTACACACACATTTACACACACACACATTTACACACACACATTTACACACACATTTACACACATTTTACACACACATTTACACACACATTTACACACACACACACACACTTACACACACACACACATTTACACACACTTACACACACATTTACACACACATTTACACACACACTTACACACACATTTTACACACACACACTTACACACACACACACTTACACACACACATTTACACACACACACTTACACACACACTTTACACACACACTTACACACACACTTACACACACACATTTACACACACACATTTACACACACACTTACACACACACATTTACACACACACATTTACACACACACTTACACACACACACACTTACACACACATTTACACACACACTTACACACACACTTACACACACATTTACACACACATTTACACACACACACACACACATTTTACACACACATTTACACACACATTTACACACACATTTACACACACTTTACACACACACACACACATTTACACACACACACACACATTTACACACACACACTTACACACACACACACACACTTACACACACATTTACACACACACTTACACACACATTTACACACACACTTACACACACATTTACACACACACACACTTACACACACATTTACACACACATTTACACACACATTTACACACACACATTTACACACACACACATTTACACACACACATTTACACACACATTTACACACACACTTACACACACATTTACACACACACTTACACACACATTTACACACACACTTTACACACACATTTACACACACACATTTACACACACACTTACACACACTTACACACACTTACACACACATTTACACACACATTTACACACACACTTACACACACATTTACACACACACACACACACTTACACACACATTACACACACATTTACACACACACTTACACACACACATTTACACACACTTACACACACACACTTACACACACACACACACACTTACACACACATTTACACACATTTACACACACACACACTTACACACACACACACACTTACACACTTACACACACTTACACACACACACACACACTTACACACACACACACACACTTACACACACACTTACACACACACATTTACACACACACACACACTTACACACATTTACACACACTTACACACACATTTACACACACTTACACACATTTACACACACTTACACACACATTACACACACTTACACACACATTTACACACACACACACACACTTACACACACACACATTTACACACACACACTTACACACATTTACACACACTTACACACACATTTACACACACACTTACACACATTTACACACACACACACACACACACACACTTACACACACACACACACTTACACACATTTACACACATTTACACACACACACACATTTACACACACACATTTACACACACACATTTACACACACACACTTACACACATTTTTACACACACACACACACACTTACACACACACATTTACACACACACACACTTACACACATTTACACATACACATTTACACACACACTTACACACATTTTTACACACACACACACTTACACACACACACATTTACACACACACACTTACACACATTTACACACACACACTTACACACATTTTTACACACACACACATACACACACACATTTACACACACACATTTACACACATATTTACACAGAAAAACATTAACTGGAAGTGATGTTTACCTACACTGCAGCTGTTTAAAAAGCTGAAAAAGTCTGTTCTGTTTTACGACTCAGTGTTACTTCCTGTCGCTTAACTGATGTGAAACTGTGATAAATATTAACCACAGGAACGATCCATCAAACCGAGTCAGAATCTGAACATTTAAACCTGTCGTTTGTATTTAAAACATTTTCAACATTGATTGGAAAAGTTGAAGTTGGCCAAGGTTTACTCCGCGATAGTTTTGCTCTGTCCTGTAGACGGATGGGACGCCGCACGCAACAACTTCGTCAACGGTTTCCACGACACCCGGATGGCGGGCGGCAACACGTTCAACCGCGGCCCACCTCGAATGGAGCGCAACCGAGGAGGAGGCGGTTTCCGGGGCAACAGGGGCGGAGCCTTCAACCCCATGAACCCCACGCAGCCGATGGGCTTCGTCGCCTTCGAGAACAAAGGTCAGGGCGGGACTGGACCGGGACTAAAACGGGACTAAAACTGGGACTAAACCTGGACTAAACCAAGGATTAAACCGGGGACTGAACCAAGGATTAAACCGAGGACTGAACCGGGGACTGAACGGGAACTAAAACTGGACTTAAACTGGGACTGAACCGGGACTAAAACGGAACTAAACCCAGGACTGAATCGGGACTAAACCGGGGACTAAAACTGGGACTTAACCGGGGACTGAACCAGGGACTAAACTGGGACTGAACCGGGACTGAACCGGCACCAAATTGAAGATTAAACTGGGGATTAAACCTGGACTAAACTGGGACTAAAACTGGACTACACCTGGGATTAAACCGGGACTAAACTGGGACTGAACTGGGACTAAACCAAGACTAAATCGAGACTAAACCTGGACTAAACCTGGACTAAACTGGGGACTAAATGGGGACTAAACCGGGACCAAAACAGAGACTAAGCCAAGGCTAAACTGGGACTAAGACTAAACCTGGGACTAAACTGGGGACTAAACCTGGGGCTAAACCGGGACTAAATCGAGGCTAAACCATGGACTAAAACTGGACTAAACCTGGGCTAAACCTGGACTAAACTGGAACTAAAACTGGGACTAAACTTCCACTTAACCAGGACTAAACCAGGACTAAACCAAGACTAAACCAAGACTAAACCAAGACTAAACCAAGATTAAATTGGAACTAAACCTGGGACTAAACCTGGACTAAACCCCTGGGTCTTTTAGGTCAAATTTGGTACTATCTTAGTGGCAAACATTTCTTTTCTTTGGAATTAATTCCTACATTTAAAGCCACATTATGTAACTTTTTAGCCAAAGGAGAGACTAAAATAAAATAATTTTTTTATGTGTTTATTGCACTGAAAAACCTGCCTCCTTACTGTGAGTGGGCTCGCATCTCCACAAACCCGACTCATATTTGTTGTGGAGGAGGGTCTCTTTCTGCTTGTTTCCATGGAGATGTCGTTCCCTTGGCTAGAATATTCCGCATTGTGGCATAAAACCTTTCTATCTTCATGGAGAATGTTCCAAAGTTGTGGTTTTAACTTTAAATAAACAAATAAACTTAATAAATTTCTTCTTTTTCTCTCAGACACAAGTGGCTGGAACACGGCCAAAGACGCCTACAGTAACTTCGGAAACAATCGCGGCAAATCGGCTTTTTTCAACGACAGAGGCAACGCCAACAGGGGGCGGTATGACGCACACACCGACAGGAAGCGCGCGTGTGTTTTTATCGGCTGCGGGTTAAACGTGGATTCTTGTGCCCAGGTTTGACCACGGGGGGTTCAGCGCCGGAGGGAACAGCCGCTGGGTGGAGGAGCCGCGAGACGAGGGAGACTGGTCCAAACCGACGCCACGAAACGAGCGGCTGGAGCAGTGAGTACTCGCCCCGGAGACGCTGACCACGCTTACATGATGATTTTAAAATTACGAATTAAGTGTTCTGAATTAAATAGTTCGGGATTAAAATATTCTCCCTTTAGCTCACGTGGAAATAGCCTGATTCATCAGCCGGTTTCTCTTCGTGGAAACCGTCTGACCTCACAGTGTTAGGATTCGTTCGCTCGACGGTAGGGGATACTTTTATTATTTCACCAGTCACAGCTGTTTGGTCGTGACGTCTGTAATGCTCCGCTAACGGGGACAATTGGTATATTTATCAATTCATCCATCCATTTTCGTCCGCTTATCCGGGGCCGGGTCGGGGGGGCAGCAGTCTGAGCAGGGACTCCCAGACTTCCTTCACCCCAGACACGTCCTCCAGCTCCATAGTCCCTCCAGTGTGTCCTGAGTCTTGCCCGGGACCTCCTCCCAGTGGGACATGCCCGGAAAACCTCTCCAGAGAGGCGTCCAGGAGGCATCCGGAGCAGATGCCCGAGCCACCTGAGCCGGCTCCTCTCGACGTGGAGGAGTCATGAGCTCTGGGTAAAGACCGAAAGGACGAGATCGTGGATACAAGCGCTCGAAATGAGTTTCCTCCGCAGGGTGTCTGGGCGTCTCCCGTAGAGACAGGGTGAGGAGCTCAGTCACACGGGAGGAGCTCGGAGTAGAGACCTGCTGGTATATGAAGCTTTTCCCAAATCCCGTAGGAAGAAGAACAATAAAGTCTTTCCCCTTGATGAAATTCAACAAACATTCTCTTTGTTTCGGCTTTAAATCCTCGATCTGGGGAATCGTTGCCAACACAGAATGTCTGGCTCTTCGCTGATTAGAGCAGGCATGTCCAAATGTCCAAATGCGGCCCTCGGACAAATTTTTCTTGGCCCTCAGGCTTCCAGGTGAATTGGCCCAAATTACCTTGCATCAATTAAAAATTAACTTTTTACTGCAAGTTTTTTTGAAAATCTAAGTTGATAAAGCAAATATTGAATATTTAGTGTGTGTTTTTAAGGATCTTGGCGTGAATAAAGACTGGTGGCTCATTCTAACGTGATAAACATGCAAATATTTCAATTATTCACTGTTCTGAGCACCAGTCTTCAGCCCTCGATCGGCCCTCTGCTTCGTCTGTGTTTAGAGATGTGGCCCTTGATGAAAAAAGTTTGGACACCCCTGGTCTAGAGTTTTCTTATTCCTGAGAGAGAAATGAAATTGAGCGGAGGCATTAGGTGGCGCCAGACTGACGAGTGTCTGCGTAAATTGGCGTATGAATGTGTGTGTGAATGAGTGAGTGGTTCCTTGAGATAAAGAGCTGGGAAACGGTAACTGAAGTGAGCAGTTTCGAATCATTGTCAGCAGAGCAGTCAGAAGCTTTGGCCTGCCACTGTGCTCTCGGGCAAGACACTTAACCTGCCTCGTTCCTCGCTGGTGTATGTGTGTATTTGAGCGTGTTGTTCCTCAATGTCAGAGTCTTAAAGGTAGAAAAGCGTTGAATAAGTGAATAAGTGTCCAGTTCACAGTTCTTTGTTTTGTGTTTGATTTTTTTTTTCTGTTCGTAACTTGTTGTGCCGCATAATCTTTCCATATTTATTTATTTTAGTTTGGCAAATTCCCCGTTGGAGCGTAATGGAATCGAGCTGCTGCTGCTGCCACTTCACAAATCAGTGATTAAAGCTCGGCCACGCTCAAAACAAAGCGCTTGATTTATACGACAATAAAAAGGGGAATTTTAAAAAGACAATTTAACTTGATCTGAAAAATCCCATTCGTCCATGTTGCGTTTCTCTCACACTGTCCTCCTCCATGTTGTGTTTTGTGTTTTCTCTCGCAGTGAGCTGTTCTCCGGCTGTAACACGGGCATCAACTTTGAGAAATACGACGACATTCCCGTAGAGGCGACCGGACAGAACTGCCCTCACCACATCGAGAGCGTAAGAGACTCCAGCCTCTGCTTTATTCTCTCTCAAATTCTATCAGTGTAATCAGGTTAAAACTACGGACGGCACGTTTTTGCGAATCCACCATCGACTCCAATTCACTTCCTATTGAGAAAACGTCACCCCTCTCTTAGGGATGTGACAATAACCGAAATATTGTGATATCGTGTCATCAAAAGTCTTACAATATTTCGAATCACAAGTTCCTTTGCTTAAATTCATGGTTTTATAGCAGCAACAGCTTATGAACATCAGAAACTACATATCCCATGATTCATTTCTACAGAAGCCGAGAGGGGTCACAAACGCCGCAACAAATACAAATGCAACAACACAAACGCAAATGTCACAACACATTAAAAAAAGCCACAACACATTACAAAAGCCACAACACATTAAAAAGCCACAACACATTAAAAAGCCACAACACATTAAAAAGCCACAACAAGGCAAGTTTATTTGTAGAGCACAATTCGTACACAAAGTAATTCAAAGTGCTTTACAGAATAAGAAATACATTAAAATCATAATAAAAACAAATCAAAACATAAATAATCATGAAGATTAAAATTAAAAAAGAGAGACATAAATTGGAGAGAAGAGTGCGGAATGAAAACCTTTCAGTTATTTGCACAGTTAAACAGAAATGTTTCGAGTCTGGATTTAAACAGCGTCACAGAAGAGTCTGTCTCACATGTTCAGACTGTTCCAGGTTTTAGCTGCATGAACCTGAAACTCTGACTCCCCTTGTTTAGTCGTGACTCTGGGCACCAGCAGGAGTTGGTCCCTGAGCTCCTCAGAGTGTGAGATGTTCATATGACACTAACATGTCACAGATGGACTTTGGTGCTCGGCCATGGAGACACTTGTACAAACAGAGACGCTTTAAAGTCTCTGAGCCACAGGAGCCAGAGCAGAGACCTGAGACCAGGACTTATGTGCTCGTACTTCCTAGTTCGAGTAAAGACCCGAGCTGCATGTTCTGGATGTTCTGGATGTTGTGGATGTTCTGGATGTGGATGTTCTGGATGTTCTGGATGTTCTGGATGTTCTGCAGCGTCTCACAGCTCGTTTGGAGAGACCAGTGAGCAGAACATCACTGTATCTAACCTACTGGAGACAAACGCATGGATAAGTTTCTCCAAGTCTGATTTAGACAGTAAACCTTTGATTTTTGCTCTGTTTTTTAGATGGTAAAAGGCTGCAGATGTTATTGATTTGATGTGACTGAGTCCATTATTACCATGAGATTTCTTGCCTGATTTCTTGTGTGTTCTTTTAGTTTCAGGATGTGGACATGGGGGAGATCGTCATGGGGAACATCGGTCTGAGCCGCTACACTCGACCCACTCCCGTTCAGAAATACGCCATTCCCATCATCAAGGGCAAGAGGGACCTGATGGCCTGCGCTCAGACTGGTACGGAGCGAGACACGGGGACTGGAAGCACCGTGTTTTAACTGTTCGTCGTGAGTGTGACGTTCTGGTCTGTTCTGCGCAGGATCTGGGAAAACGGCGGCCTTCCTCCTGCCCATTCTCAGTCAGATTTACGCCGAGGGACCAGGGGAAGCTCTGAACGCCGCCAAGGCTTCGGGACAAGTGAGAGCGAGGGGGAGGAGAGGGGAGACGGAGAGACGAGGCGGAGACGCAGGGCGAAGGCAGGAGGCAGAGAGAGGAGAAAGAGAGACGAGGCAGAGGGAGGAAACCGAGAGAGAAAAGGCAAAGAGAGGAGACGGAGAGAGGAGACGGAGAGAGAGGAGACAGAGAGAGGAGACAGAGAGAGGAGACGGAGAGAGAGGAGATGGAGAGAGGAGACGGAGAGAGGAGACGGAGAGGAGACAGGGAGAGAGGAGACGGAGAGAGAGGAGACGGAGAGAGAGGAGACGGAGAGAGGAAACTGAGAGAGGGGAGACAGAGAGAGAGGAGACAGAGAGAGAGAGAGAGAGAGACAGAGAGAGAGAGAGGAGACAGAGAGAGAGGAGACAGAGAGAGAGGAGACAGAGAGAGGAGACAGAGAGGAGACAGAGAGGAGACAGAGAGAGAGGAGACAGAGAGAGAGAGAGGAGACAGAGAGAGAGAGAGAGAGAGGAGACAGAGAGAGAGGAGACAGAGAGAGGAGAGAGAGAGGAGACAGAGAGAGGAGACAGAGAGAGAGGAGACAGAGAGAGAGAGAGGAGACAGAGAGAGGAGACAGAGAGAGAGAGACAGAGAGAGAGAGAGAGGAGACAGAGAGAGAGGAGACAGAGAGAGAGAGAGAGAGGAGACAGAGAGAGAGGAGACAGAGAGAGGAGACAGAGAGAGAGAGAGGAGACAGAGAGAGAGAGAGAGGAGACAGAGAGAGAGAGAGAGAGAGGAGACAGAGAGAGAGAGGAGACAGAGAGGAGACAGAGAGAGAGGAGACAGAGAGAGAGGAGACAGAGAGAGAGAGAGGAGACAGAGAGAGAGGAGACAGAGAGAGAGAGACAGAGAGAGAGGAGACAGAGAGAGAGGAGACAGAGAGAGAGGAGACAGAGAGAGAGAGAGAGAGAGAGAGAGAGAGGAGACGGAGAGAGGAGACAGAGAGAGAGAGAGGAGACAGAGAGAGAGAGGAGACAGAGAGAGGAGACAGAGAGAGAGGAGACAGAGAGAGAGGAGACGAGAGAGAGGAGACGGAGAGAGAGAGAGAGAGGAGACAGAGAGAGGGGAGACGGAGAGAGAGGAGACGGAGAGAGAGGAGACGGAGAGAGAGGAGACGGAGAGAGAGGAGACGGAGAGAGAGGGAGAGAGAGAGAGAGAGGAGACGAGAGGAGAGAGAGAGGAGACGGAGAGAGAGGAGACAGAGAGAGAGGAGACGGAGAGAGAGGAGACGGAGAGAGAGGAGACGGAGAGAGAGGAGACGGAGAGAGAGAGAGAGAGAGGGAGAGAGAGAGGAGACGGAGAGAGGAGACGGAGAGAGAGGAGACGGAGAGAGAGGAGACGGAGAGAGAGGAGACGGAGAGAGAGGAGACGGAGAGAGGAGACGGAGAGAGAGGAGACGGAGAGAGAGGAGACGGAGAGAGAGGAGACGGAGAGAGAGGAGACGGAGAGAGAGGAGACGGAGAGAGGGGAGTCGGAGAGAGGGGAGACGGAGAGAGGAGAGAGAGGAGTCGGAGAGAGGGGAGTCGGAGAGAGGGAAGTCGGAGAGAGGGGAGACAGAGAGAGGGGAGACAGAGAGAGGGGAGACAGAGAGAGGAGATGGGAGACCGAGAGAGGAGACGAAGAGGAGACAGAGACACAGAGAGGAGTTAGAGAGAGAGGAGGCGGAGAGAGGTGATGGAGAGAGGAGGCAAAGAGGGGAAACCGAGACGGAGAGAGGGTACGGAGGAGACAGGGAGGAGATGGAGGAGACAGGGAGAGGAGGCAAAGAGAGGAGACGGAGAGACCGAGACAAAGAGAGGAGAGAGGAGACAGAAAGAGGAGCTGGAGGAGACAAAGAGCGAGGAGGCAGAGATGAAGATGGAGACGGAGAGGAGACAGAAAGAGGAGGCAGAGCGAGGAGACATAGACTGAGAAGATGGAGAGAGGAGATGGAGAGGAGACAAAGAGGGGAAAGGAAATGGAGAGAGGAGACCAAGAAAGAGGAGACTTAGAGACTAGACAGAGAGAGGAGACGGATGGACTGACAGTTTAGGACTGGGGGGTCTCCAACTTTTAAAAGCAAAAGAGCCACTTTATCCTGTTTCAAACCCAGCAAATTCTTATTTGATCCACAAACAATGAGACAAACTGACTTTGACTCAACTTTATATCACTATTTATGATCAAATACAACTGTCTAACCTCACTCTTCCATCACTTATCTCCTCTTTTACAAATTTTGAATACAGTTTTATTTATTTTCCCCCTGCATTCTGAAAGAGAATTATGCATATTAAAGGTGCACTATGTAACTTCCTTCACCTGTTTGTCTCCATAGAGCTTTAATCCTCCGCTTATATTTTGCATTTATTAAATTACAGGTTCACTGCTCAGAAATTACCCCTGAAAACATTCACGTAAACAGGTCACCTCTCCACAGATCTGACCTGTAGCTGGAACATCTTTCTGTCTGATTGTCCACCAGAAAAGTCACATCATGCACCTTTAATTTGAGTTTTCTTGCTCGTCTTTTCTTCATTACAAGGGAAACATCGGTGTAAATATTCATGGATCTCTGTGTTTTTATCCAACAGGAGAATGGGAAGTTTGGCCGTCGTAAACAGTATCCGATCTCTCTGGTTCTGGCGCCAACTCGAGAACTGGCTCTGCAGATCTACGACGAGGCCAGAAAGGTGAAAATATCAGTTTTATTATCTGTATCTTGTGTGTACATGTTAGAGTTTTATCACCAGATTCACCAAAGAGCCAAAAGGTTTTAATCCAGGCTAGTTTTTCCTCACACGAGCAGAGTTTTCATGTTGTTCTAATTCCTCCTCGGTTTGGCGGAGAGTCCCTGAGGTCAATATTTATCAGAGTTTTACATCGGTGAAGTGGCAGTTTGTGGTTTGAGAAGAAAAGTACAAAAACACAGGAAGTAGCGCCGAGTTGTTAAACAGAATCCCTCTCCTCTCTGTGTCAGCAACACGGAAAACTCCCTCCGAAACACGCACGGAAAGACTTTTTCTGACACTTTAAACCAGTGTTTCCCAAACTTTTTTTCTGGGGATCCGTATTTTAAAAGTCACAAACCTTTGCGACCAAAGTCAATAGACATTGAGTCAAATATAATTTGAGTAATAATGTGTTTAAAGGTTGTATAGAGGATTTTCCAAGGAACGAGAAATCCAGCGACTGTTTGTCCTTTTTCAAATGTTGCGCATGCGTGAAACCACCCCCCCTCCCCTACAGCTCCTACGTAGAAACACCTCCTCCCTCCTCCTCCTTACGCCAGAAACAGGTTTGTTTACAGCCGGTGCTGCACATGACTTGTAAACAACTAACTACAGTGTTGGTTAGGCAAGACGGAGAAGTGAGGAGCGGGGGGAGCGGGTGTGCGGACATTTCGTTCGCGGACGAGAAGTGAGGAGCAGGGAGAAGAGCGGAGCAGGGAGAGAGGAGAGGAGAGAGGAGAGAGGAGAGAGGAGCGGTGCGAGGAGATTCCGTGCCCGGAGAAGTGAGGAGCAGGGGAAGAGCGGAACGGGCAGCGGGGACAGGAGCAGGAAAGGGGTGCAGAGAAGGTTGCGCAGAGATTCAGTGCGAATGAACTAGCTACAACACGCAGCAGCAAGCGGACTCTTTCTTTGCCTTGAAAATTACGTTTTCAGACATAGGATATCGCTTTCGTGTCCTGAAAAATGTTTGTGTAGCTCTTGGAAATAAAGTACGTTTTCATAATAAGCAGAAGTTTCCTGTCCAGGAGTAATTTGTGGACCAGTGGTTCAGTCTTTAAACCCTGCGTCTGCTTCAGTCGCGCCATCGCTGGAATGAATCTTCAAGAATCACCTTAGTTTGGCTTCGCTGCTTTTCCCCTTGTCTTCTTCTTTCAGCGACCTCAAAAACGGACTTTCTTTTGTGGCTAACTGCTCCTAGATTCTTGTCTCCATTGCAACAAACTTTGTGCGAACTGCGAGGAAGATATAGGTCAAAAAAAGCCGCTAAGAACTGTTGCGTTGGTGGAGTAAACAGCGTCTGTGCGTCTTGCGTCTGTGGACTGCGTGACAGTCGTACGTAAACCACGTAACAGCAGCGCACAGGCAAGTCAGTTACTCTAGAAACGTAGGGAGTTTGATTGACAGCCTGTCAGCTCACAGATAACGAGGCAGTGTCGTTATCTATTGGCAAATGTTTAGCCCCACCACGTCCAGAGTTGATGAATTTTTTATTCTCTCTTTTTTTTGGTCATCATAATTACAAGGCGACTGCATCTCTATAATCTATCATTGACAATTTGAAACAAAAAAAATCCTCCATACAACCTTTAATGCAGCTTTGTGCTCATTTGTTTACGTTGTTTTAGTGAAATGAGTATTGAGTCTGACGCCTCTCTTCCCCGTGTGCAGTTCGCGTACCGCTCCCGCGTGCGCCCCTGCGTGGTGTACGGCGGCGCGGACATCGGCGGGCAGATCAGGGACCTGGAGCGAGGCTGCCATCTGCTGGTGGCCACCCCGGGACGCCTGGTGGACATGATGGAGCGGGGCAAGATCGGGCTGGACTACTGCAAGTGAGAGAAACAAACACAAACTCATCTGAACTCTCAAAATGTCGTTTAAGATTTTCATTGGTCCAGTACCTTAGTCCTGTTTCATCCATAATGATCCAGAAGTCATAGAACCATAGTTACGTTCATAGTTTTCATTTTCTCCTGTTGTGTTGTTTTAGATGAGATGCTCTGATTTTAATTCTTTTATTTTTTTGTAAACAATATTAGGCTTTTTAAAGCTTTAGGACATTCTAAAATGATGATAAGTTAAAAAGAAGTTTACAAATTAACTTTTCTCTTTTGTAAAAATAATAGCAAAATGTATTTACAGGGTTCCTATGGTCATGGAAATTGTAAATTCAATGAATGTTTTGGAACAGTAACTAGTAACTAGTAGTTACTAGTAATTATGATTATTTCTGAACGTTTGCGCCTTGTGTTTAAAAGAGACGACACTAAATGCACTGACAGGATTTTAAATGTTCAAAAACTATAATCCAAACCATAAAGTGAGTGGAAAGAGTTAAACATTTCAGATTTACAGAGGTGGGACCAAGTCGTCGTTTTGCGAGTCTCAAGTAAATCTCAAGTCTTTGACCTCAAGTCCGAGTCAAGTCCCAAGTCGAGTCTCGAGTCACTGGCCCATAAGTCAAATCCAAGTCGTCTAGTTTAAACACTTAAAATGACTTGAAGCTCAAAGTACCAAATACAGCTTTGATTTTTGCAATTTATATGAATTTTAAACTAAATTGTTCTTAAAAAGTCACGATATATTTTATACTAGTATTTATAGAAGAGTTGTAGAAATGTAAGTTTTTCCTTTTTAAATGTCTTGACATGATCTTGGTTTGAATAGTTCTGGTCAAAATAGAATGAATTAAGATTTAAAAGTGCTATATAACAGTTATTTTGTCATGAAGGATCATGTTCTATGTAGTTCCCTCTGTTTTACTGTATTATACTGTACTTTTCTGAATATTACTGTAGTATTTTTGAGGACATCATCTCACAGTACTGCAGTCACATCCATTTTTTAGGAGAAGTATTAAGTCTTCTCAAGTCACAGGTTTCAAGCCCCACGTCTTAGTTCATTTTAAGTCAAGTCTCAAGTCCTAAAAATAATGACTCGAGTCTGACTCAAATCCAAGTCCCACCTCTGCATATTTAACCCTAAAAGTCTGATCAGTTCTACACATGTAGGTGCCGGAAAGTCATGGAAAATTCACTTCAGGTCACTCGTGAGTCTGTTTAAAAACACAGATCTGATGCACCGAGGACAAACTGGGACTGACACACAGACTGGGGCAGTGCAGTCGGCTTTCAGTATCAGACCGATACTGAGATCTGGGGAAATCCTCCGATATCTCTAACCAGTAATCACCGATACACCATCCCTACTTTTTTATTTTTATTGATGATTGTCTTATTTCAAATGTTGAATTCCAAGTGACTGCGTTTGATTTATGTTCATGTACATAAAAGCAAAAGCAAAATGTGTTTCACCTCAGCACAGACATGAGCAGGTGTCAGAACGTGACCGCGCTGGTTCCTGTTTGTGCCCAGTCGTAAAATGTTTAGATCCTCCACAAACCGGGAAGTTGTGGTTGGCTTCGCCGTGACAACAAAACTCCGGTTGTGGCCTCAAAATACACGTAAACACTTTGAATACTTGCGACGCTCAGAGTAAAGTGTGAATAAAGTGAGGAATGACTTCAGACGAGAGCAAACCGTCACCTGTGTCTGTGTTTTTCTTCAGTTACCTGGTTCTGGACGAGGCCGACCGGATGCTGGACATGGGGTTCGAGCCTCAGATCAGACGGATCGTGGAGCAGGACACGATGCCGCCCAAAGGAATCAGACAGACCATGATGTTCAGCGCCACCTTCCCCAAAGAAATCCAGGTGCGCACGAGTAAACACAGAAACAAGACACATACGGCTGTGAGCCAAAACAAAACGACCACAGCTAAGCACTTTGGACGACACTGTGAAGTTCGTCCTGGCTTTGTCTTTGCGTATTTATTAATTTATTTAATTTATTTAGTTTATTTATGAGACGGGGACAGTGCACAATCTACATGAACCATAATAGAAGAGATGCTTTGATCCAGGTTGTAGCACCAGAGCGAGTTTCCATCTGTAGTCCCTGGTGCATGGTTTTTAGATTGGTCCTTTTGCCCTGATTAAATTCCGAGTTAGTCCTGAGTTAGTCCTGAGTTAGTCCTGAGTTAGTCCTGAGTTAGTCCCGAGTTAGTCCTGAGTTAGTCCCGAGTTAGTCCCGAGTTAGTAAATCCTGATTTAGCTCTGAGTTAGTCCCGAGTTAGTTCCAAGTTATTCCCGAGTTAGTTTCAAATATATTTTATTATTTCCATGTTAGTCCCAAATTAGTCCCAAGTTTCTCTCAAGTTATTCCCAAATTTGTTCCAAGTTATTCCAGAGCTAGTTCCAAGTTAGTCCCGAAATATTCCCAAATTAGTCCCGAGATATTCCCAAATTAGTCCCGAGATATTCCCAAATTAGTCCCGAGTTATTCCCAAATTAGTCCCGAGATATTCCCAAATTAGTCCAGAGTTATTCCCAAATTAGTCCCGAGTTATTCCCAAATTAGTCCAGAGTTATTCCCAAATTAGTCCAGAGTTATTCCCAAATTAGTCCAGAGTTATTCCCAAATTAGTCCCGAGATATTCCCAAATTAGTCCCGAGATATTCCCAAATTAGTCCCGAGATATTCCCAAATTAGTCCCGAGTTATTCCCAAATTAGTCCCAGAGTTATTCCCAAATTAGTCCAGAGTTATTCCCAAATTAGTCCAGAGTTATTCCCAAATTAGTCCAGAGTTATTCCCAAATTAGTCCAGAGTTATTCCCAAATTAGTCCAGAGTTATTTCCAAATTATTCCCAAGTTATTCCTGAGTTAGCCCAGAGTTAGTTTCAAGTTAGTTCCATATTAGTTCCAAATTATTCCTGAGTTATTTCCAAGTTCGTCCCGCGTTAGTCCCTGGTCTTGCCTTGTTCAAGTTCGTCCTAGTTTTGACCTGATTTTGACGTGGCTTAGACTTGGTTTAGACCAAAGTCCTGATTTAGTTTTGGTTTAGTCCTGGTTTAGACTTGGTTTTGAGAAGCTCTCAAAAGATCTGTGGTGAACAGCAGTGACTGACGGGTGAACGATGGTTTCAAACTTTAACTAATTTTGATACACAAAAACAAATTGGGTTCTAGGCCGTCGCATTTTAGACCAGAGTTTTAGGTCATAGTTTTTAAGCCCTGAAAACGCACACCATTTACAGTTAAGAGAAAAAAAAAACAATCTTCTGAATGTCCTCCCCGTCCTTCAGATCCTGGCCCGGGACTTCCTGGAGGAGTACATTTTCTTGGCGGTCGGTCGCGTCGGCTCCACTTCGGAAAACATCACCCAGAAAGTGGTTTGGGTCGAGGAGAGCGACAAAAGATCCTTCCTCCTGGATCTGCTCAGCGCCACAGGTAAAAAAAACGAAAAAAAAAACGTACTCTGTCTCACCTCTGTAATCTCTCCGTGTGTGTTTGGACCATAGACTGTGTACAGAAGTGGACTAAAGTCAAAATAACATCGCCCACAGTCAAATGAAGCTCATCGAGGCCAACGAGCGAATTTGGAGACAGTTTTTATTGGGAATACGAATCGATTTAAGGACAACATTGAGAAATAAAACCCGAGTATAGCTCTGTCCTTTTACGTATACAGTCTATGGTGTGTTCTAGTCCCCATTACAAGTGTTGAGTGTTTTTGAGGACAAATTTAAAGTCCTCGTGTTACGTTCGGTGCGGTAAAGGTCCTATATTATGCAAAACAGACTTTATTTTAGCCTTAAACCACGTCATTACGTTGTTTCCTCATCAGAATCATACCTGGAGTTGTGTTTTGTTTCAGTTTTTTTCCGTTTTCTCGTGCATGTTTGCGTAATCTTGCTTATATTCGGTTTGTCTTTCCTCTCGGCATCATGTGTTGCTAAACCGAAAGTGCTCCTCGGTGTTTTTAAAGCCCCAGTATGTAGCTTTTTAACCAGATAAATAGCCTAAAATCTAAGCATGTTTTTTTGTTTATTTTTTTACACACTGAAAAACATGCGTACATACTGTGAGCGGGCTTGCATCTCCACAAACCTGACTCTTACGTGCCTCCCCTCTGCCTGTTTCCGTGGAAAAGTCGGCTAAAATCTTCCACATTATCCCCGTAAATTTATCTCCTAAGTGTGGTTTTAACTTTCTATTTCCGTGGAAACATGCAGACGACGCGCCACCTCCGGATTTCTTCTTTCACCACACAGTCAACTAACCAGCTTTTTGACACTAGCAGCTACTGTTTTTAGCCCGATTTAAACTCCTTTGCTCCTTTTTGGGCTCAGATAAAGATAGTTTTTCCATGTACATTATTTTAAAGGTCCCATGTCACAAAAAACTGACTGTGAGCTTGTTCCTCCGCAAAAACAGACCTGGAGTTGTGTTTTTTTAATCTATTTACATTAGGAGTGTGGAAAAAATATCGAAATATCGTTTATATCGTTTAATGTGATGATACTGTGTCGATATCATGGGGTGCTGTATCGATATATCTAGAGTATTTTTTTGGTATATTTTACTAAATTATTTTGCTCCAGCTACAGTTTTGTTGTTTGTTCAGAGGAAGGAAACTCGTTTATGCGACACATTTGACATTTTCATTATTTCGATTTATTATTTATTTATTATTTCGAGTAAAACAGGAGGGTTTGAAATTAACTTTGCTCAAGAAGTGGTTTAACAAAGACTTGACTAACACAGACTTGATTTAGAATTTTGATTGCGATTTCGATTCGTGTGTCAAACTCCAATCTCCAAACTCATATAATCGAGTTGAAACGAGTAAAGCACAAAGTTTATTTAATTTTTTTACATAGAGATTGTAGAACAGTTGGATATAGAGTTTATTTTGGACACATTTATGTTTTTCTTTGCCTTATTTCAGGTTCAAAGTTTATTTTATTCATTTTATGTTTTATACATCTCAAAACTGCTCTGAGGTTCAGATTTGTAGCCGATATTTATTTTCAATTTCAATGCTTGGCGTAAATTAACAATAAAAATTTTTTTTTTTGAGAGAGAAATGCTGAATAAATGCATCGTGTAATTAAAAAAATAATCGTCTGAATAATCATGATTTCAGTATTGACCAAAATAATCGTGATAATTTAATAATTTTTTCGAGCTGCCCTAATTTAGCCTTTATTTTTTTTAATTGAACCGTATCGAATCGATTTGAAATATATCGTATTGAATCGTATCGAATCGTAAGCTCAGGGTAGGACATTATAAGGTTTTTTTTTTTTTTTTTTTTAATCTTTTGAGCACCAGGTCCCAAATATGTGCATGTACATATCCTTGTTTTTGTTTTGTTTTTTGTTAGTATTGTTGATTTTGTTTTACCTTTCTCAAACAAATGAATAAATAAATAGATAAATTAATGAATAAAAAAAAAAAACTCATCGTATTGAAATATGTATCGTATCGTATCGTGGATTATGCATCGAGGTATGTGTCGTATCGTATCGGCAACTTCTGAATGAAACTCAACCCTGGTCAACATCTCCAAAGCTCGAAATACTTTGTTCCACCTTGTGATGTCATGACGTGTAGTGAACAGCTCCTTTTTTTTACCTTTAGTTTGGTAGAAATTGGCAATTTTAGAGCTGAAATTGTCTAAATGATTCTAGTGAAGGCGTGTGGAGTCTAAAAACACACTGGAATGACATCACAAGGTGGAAATGTGTGTTTTTTTTCAGTTTGAGAGAAGAGCTCAATCTAAATCTGCGGGGTTTTTTGTGTGTTAAACGTGTGAATGAAACCAAAACACAACTCCAGGTCTGTTTGCGACGAGGAAACGACTTTAAAACATTGGAAAACGGTGTAATATGGGCCCTTTAAGTTTAAGTTTTGCAGTGCTTTAGTGATTTAAATGCATAATATAGGACCTTTAAGGGCAGGTACATACAAATCTACACTGTAATTTGTTCCCTGATGTATTTCCAATGACTTTATTTATTAGAAAATGCTTAGAATTCCCTCATGTTACCAAATTTGTTTATTCAAATTAACTGAATTTTACTGCAAAGGATGTACATTATAATTGTTTACATGTCCTTCACCACTAGATGTCGCCCTTAAACAACTCAAGTTAAATGATAAAGCAAAGTTAAAGAGTTGAATTAGGCCTCCCGCTGTCTGTTTGAGTCAGATCTTGGCCTGTCCCCCGGTCCCTGGGGCCTCTCCGTAGTCCAATGCTCGCACTAATATGTGGTGGTTTGGTTTTATCTAAAGTCGTCCCCACTGAGGCTCAGGACAATGCAGCAGACAACATAGAGAGACCCGGTAAGACCTGCACCTTAAAGTCCAATATTATTCAGATATTATAATTTTTGCCTGCACTCTTCCTCTTGGGGGCGCTGTCGTCCTCAAGCCTCAGTTCATTTCATCGGTAAAACTCCATCAGCTCGGGCACATGACGCCGCAGCTGCTCTTTGGTTCTGTCACCGTAACCAAGGGTTTGGTTAAGTTTGGTTTCATTAAAAAAAAAACAACAACAAAAAAACACTTTAGGTTTCCCGCAGTGACACGTTTTGCTTCATTCAAACTCCGTCACGTCAGACACATTATTATTATTATTTTTTACTCTTTTACTTCTTTCTTTCTACTTTGAACACATTCTGACTGTTAGAGCAGACGCACAGGTATTGGACCCAGAGCGTAAAGAAATGGACTAAGTGAGCGTCACGTCGCCCACAGCGCTCAGCTCCAGTTTGTGATGGGATGATGACACCTCTAGGAATGTATTGACACTTTACACAAACTGTATTGACACTTAAGAGTGACCTAGTTCTAAAATCATTGCAGGTAAACAAAATGAAAATAAGATGGAAAACCCAACATCAGCCTGTGAAATAATATTTAATCTTTATTTAATTGCTAGTCTTTTACTTAAAGGGCCGGTTCAGAATTTTGGACAGAGAGCCTCATTTCCTCGTGAGCCAGAGTGTTGGAGCCGTGTGGAGACACTTTTTAAAATATTCCATCCAGTTCTTGTATTTGCAGAGGTCGCTGGTGTTAGACTAGTGCATGTCAATGGTCATAGTTCTCCTGCCACTAAAAACAGTCTTAACCACTCCACAAAACACCCGACGCAAAACAATTAATACCCCAGACTGTCCATGTGAATGTCTGTGTTGACGGAATAATCTCAGAAGTCAAACCAACCTTGCATTTGAAGGATTTATATCTGCAGCAGTGAGTTGTACTTCCTGATCGAAAGCTCGGCAGAGGCGGACTGATATCACCCGGCACGTGTCTTAGCGGCTCCGTGATAGTTTGTTTACCTGCAGTTGTCATAGCGACACATAGAGCACAGGAAGAAGCCTGTTCCAGATGTGGCCACGTTCACATCATCACAACGAACTAGAGCAGAGTAAAATTCCACTGCTGCTGAGAAAATAGTCCCTCAACATGCGACGATTCATCCGATACAAGGCTGGTTTTACTTCTGAAATTATTCTATGGACACAGACATTCACATGGACAGTCTGGTGTAATAATAGATTTGTTTCAGGTGTTTTGTGGAGTGGTTAAGACTGTTTTTAGTGGCAGGAGAACTATGACCATTGACATGCACAAGTCTAACACCACTGACCTCTGCAAATACAAGGACTGGATGGAATATTTTAAAAAGTGTCTCCACACGGCTCCAACACTCTGGCTCACGAGGAAATGAGGCCCTATGTCCAAAATTCCGAACTGTCCCTTTAAAAGTCCTAGAACACAAATTGTAGGTCTGTATCGTAACGCAGTGAGCTGTTATTGAGGTTGCAGTGATACAGATGCCAGAATTTGAAATAAAAAGTACTGCTCAATGGCTCTATGTTCATTTGGGCCAATTCAGCAGGATCCCTGCGGGCCAACAAAAATTGGTAAGGGCCGGATTTGACCCCTGGGCCATAGTTTGGACACCCCTGACTTAAAATCTGATCTGATCATTGTGCCTCAGCATTGATGAAGTGCTTTTATTGATGTAAGATAGTTCTGTGGAGCAGCGCCGACACTTCATCCACAATAAAATAAAGGTTAATTTATCTGAACAATTCAAACCTCTTACCAGAAAAGTGTAGAAAACATATTTAATTTAAAAACTAACAGTAAACAATGCCCAAAGGAGAAAAAGATTTACCTTATTTGGCATCAAAAGATCAGAATGGAACGATCCATGAAGTCAGAAGTGGAAGCAAAGTAAAAATCCAACAGGCACAGCAACAGCAAACATAGTTTTGTCTCCATCCAACAAATCTGCAGCATGTCAATACAGTTTGTTTCCTTATAAACACAATTTGGCGCGGCACATCCAAACGACACACTTCCTGTATCGGTCACGTGGTTTTTTTCTTAAAGCGATACACGCACCGATACGGGGTGTCACTCTTGTGCACTCGGCACAGCGCTGACGCTCCAGTGTCGCTCGTCCCATCAGTAGATCCAGTCAAATGAAGCTCGTGAGGCTGGAATTGGATGTTTTTTAACGGACAAAATGGTAAAATAAAAAAAACCTGGATGGTGTAGAGTGTAGACTGGATCGGAGACGTGACGGAGTTTATGTAAATGAGGCGTAAAACTGTTTCAGCTTCCTGTTCATGAGCAGCAGTTTAAGGGACAATATTGATTCTTATTTGCCTCAGATGTCGTTTGTATGAAGGGACTTGAGTCTAGTGCCCAAACCTGGATAAATAAAAGCCTCGTGTCTGGAGGTGTGAGGCCCGTGTTAGTGGAACCGGATCTCCTGAGGTCCTGTGGAAGTCTGTATCCATATTAGGACTTCCTCTGCATGTTTTTCCTGTTACCTGTGAGGCCAGAGACTAAATACACACATATTAGGTCGCCCCCGTGTGGACAGATTGAAAACTACAGCTCATTACACCACAGCGGTCCTTTATTTAAACGTCTCTCTGACCAAACTCTGTCACGGCTTCTGCTGCATGAACCACACGGTCTATGGCCATGCATTCATTCACTGACGTTAAAACTGTAACAGACTTTTATTTTTTCACATTTTTTTGCTTTGCTTTACACGCGGCACAGAGCGGCCGGACGTAGCGCCGACAGCGGATAAAAAAAAACAAAAACGAGGCGACCTTGGCCGTTTTAAACCATGTCCATCCAAACACGCCTGGAGTTTGTTTCATTCATGCATGTTTCAGTGACCCGACTCTCTCCGCTGCTTCCTCTCCGCTGCCTCCCCCGTTTTACCTCCACAAACGCCTGTGATGGAATGTGGGTGTAATGCCGTACTGCGGGACATTCCATACAAGGCAAAGACCTCAACATGGAGAAGGGTTACACTGGTTTAGTTCTGGTTTAGCCCTCCCAATTCAGTCCTGGTTTAGTCCTGTTTTTAGTTCTAGTTCAGTCCTGGTTTAGTCCTGGTTTAGTCCTGTTTTAGTCCCGATTCAATCCTGGTTTAGTCCTATTTTTAGTTCTAGTTCAGTCCTGGTTTAGTCCTGTTTTTAGTTCTAGTTCAGTCCTGGTTTAGTCCTGTTTTAGTCCCGATTCAGTCCTGGTTTAGTCCTGTTTTAATTCTAGTTCAGTCCTGGTTTAGTCCTGGTTTAGTCCTGTTTTAGTCCCGATTCAGTCCTGGTTTAGTCCTGTTTTAGTCCCGATTCAGTCCTGGTTTAGTCCTGTTTTAGTTCTAGTTCAGTCCTGTTTAGTCCTGGTTTAGTCCTGTTTTAGTCCCGATTCAGTCCTGGTTTAGTCCTGGTTTAGTCCTGTTTTAGTCCCGATTCAGTCCTGGTTTAGTCCTGTTTTAGTTCTAGTTCAGTCCTGGTTTAGTCCTGGTTTAGTCCTGTTTTAGTCCCGATTCAGTCCTGGTTTAGTCCTGTTTTTAGTTCTAGTTCAGTCCTGGTTTAGTCCTGGTTTAGTCCTGTTTTAGTCCCGATTCAGTCCTGGTTTAGTCCTGTTTTTAGTTCTTTTAATCCTAGTTCAGTCCTGTTTTAGTCCTGGTTCATTTATTTTTTATTTTTTTAAACAATCCTGGCTGATGTTGAGGCAGATTTGAGTCCCAAAAGTTTAAACTGAGCAGGCGACAGGTCAGAACTCTGTGGTGGAGTTTGCTGTTTAATTTGCAGATTTGTTGAACTGGTTTATGTTTAAAGTTTCTAATTACTGGGCCTATCCACGTGAAACAAAAACTGGCACAAAATTCAGCGTCTTATGAACAAAAGTTAAATTATTTTATCACAGCAGCTTCAGAAATCTGTGCCATTATTCAGCCCCAAAGACGTGAGGGTTGTTAGTTGAAAGGACTTTAAACTATAAGCTTAAAATTTATGTTTGTGGAGTAAGAAAGTTTTCAGAATAGAAATCCATGAATATTTGTCTGTAGATGAGCGTAAAATAAATATTCGTAAACTCTCAAATGATTCCACTTGTACATAAAATGTGTTGTGTGTATTTTATCCATCAGAATACGAATTGACAAGTTGCGACGTCAAGAATTACAATCACCAAATGAAAATTTACGATTACACTTTCGTCAGTACGAATATGAATTCACAGACGCGACGCGACTGTCAGAAAAACGTCATCACTTCACAGAAACATCGATCGACTAAACCAGGACTAAACCAGGACTAAACCAGGACTAAACCAGGACTAAACCAGGACTAAAACAGGACTAAAACAGGACTAAAACAGGACAGATCCAGGACTAAAACAGGACTGAACAAGAACTGAACCAGGATTGAATTGGAGGACTGAACCAGGACTGTACTAGAACTAAAATAGGACTAAAACAGGACTACAACTCAGGCTCCTCCCTCTCTCTCTTTGACCTGGTTTAGTCCTGGTTTAGTCCTGGTTTAGTCCTGGTTTAGTCTGGTTTAGTCCTGGTTTAGTCCTGGTTTAGGTCTGGTTTAGTCGATCGATGTTTCTGTGAAGTGATGTTGTGTTTTTGACAGTCGAGTCGTGTCTGTGAATTCATATTCGTACTGAAGAAAGTGTAATCGTAAATTTTCATTTGGTGATTGTAATTCTTGATGTTGTAACTTTTAAATTCTATAATATCTATTTTATGTACGACTGGACTCATTCGAGAGTTTACGAATATTTATTTTATGTTCAACTACACACAAATATGCAAGGATTTCTATTCTATGCAAGTGTATATTTCTGAAAGCTTCTGACTCCATCAAATAAGGAGAAGGAGAAACATTTGTGGATCAGGAGTTTGGAGATTTCGTTCAAAAACAGTGAATTTCCCATAGAGTTACACACAGTTACCCCCCGCGCAACATCTGAAACTCTAACCTCAGACTGAACACGGAGAAGACGAGCTGTTAAAAGAGTAAATTGTCTTGGCGTCTTGTGCGCTGTTCCAGGTAAAGACTCTCTGACGCTGGTGTTCGTGGAGACGAAGAAGGGCGCGGACGCTCTGGAGGACTTCCTGTACCGCGAGGGATACGCCTGCACCAGTATCCACGGCGACCGCTCCCAGAGAGACCGCGAGGAGGCCCTGAACCAGTTCAGGTCCGGCAAGTGCCCCATCCTGGTCGCCACCGCTGTGAGTCACTGTCACCGCTCGTACTGATGTTTCTGTTTTACTTTAAAGGTTCAATATTACACAAAACTTCTGAGGTTTAAGTCGTGTTCTAATGTTGTTTCCTCCTCAAAAACAGACCTGGAGTTGTGTTTTGTTTCATTCACATGTTTATTATTAGTCTGTCTGTTAGGGATGTAACGATAACCAAGTCTCACGATACGATATTGTCACAGTATGAACCTCACTGTGTGATATTTATCGTGATATCGTGGGAAAGCTCACGATATGGAGGGGAGGTTCACGATTAGGGATGTAACAAATATCACAAATCTCTCTGTTGACGATATATTTTCACTGATGTACATCTCACAGTGTAAACACTGAATATTTAATTTTCCAGAGATACAAATATTTTTGTTGATGAGTGAATTTCAAAACCTGTGTAACATAGTTTGTCCTAGTGTGTTAAAATGCCTTGACAAGACTCAATCCAAAGACTTAAAAGTGTTAGAACTGTTATTTCTTCTTGTCGTCTGCTCTGAAATGGAGCAAAGGATCATGGTCTATGTATTTCCCTCTGTGTTTTTTTTTTTTAATCTATTGCTGCATCATAACTCTTCATTTAAACAAAGAGACTTGTAATTCGACATATTGTGATGATCCACGATGTTGTTGTGTGAACTTTGATGATACGATATCACGATATTTAGGTTATTGTCACATCCCTAGTGGCTTTATCTCCAAAGTTTGTGTGAAAAATCCCTCAGTCGTCCAGGTATCTGTATATCTCCAAAGCTGAAAATGCTGTGTTCCACTTTGTGATGTCATGAAGCTGTAGTTTTCAAGTGAACACCTCCTTTTACCTTTAGTTCAGTAGAGATCAGCAATTCCAGGACTGAATTTTTGTTTTTTTAGTGAAGGTGTGTGGAGTTTAAAAACACAGTGGAGCACTTCCTGTATCACTACATGACATCAGAAGGTGAACAAGAATGTTTTCAATCTGGTAGAAGAACTCAGCCTAAATATGCAGGGTTTGTGTGTGAAACATCCATCAATAGTCCAATGAGATTCATTTGGTTTTCCAATATTCTATGTTATTAGGTTCTTTTTTTCAGACCTAGAGTGTTATTTCATACCTGACAGTTTCGACTGTTCACTAGCGTCTTCCTCAGAGTCACGTGATGTTGCTGTGACGTGTCCAGTCGGCTGATTTAAACAGGTTTTGGCGAGAACCACGTTATGGATTGGGATGGAGCAAACATCATTGGGACAGAGGAAAACAAACATCGCCGCTGGATTAAAGAAGCAATCGAAATAAGGAAACGTGCCCACAGGACTGTAAACCGGGACGAGGGGCTTTTTTACTCTCACACACCTGGGATGCTGTCCTGAGGAAGTCGGACTGCAGATGGCGCTGTCGTCCTGCCTCCACCTGTAGGAAGGCAGCGCCAAAACCTGTTTAAATCAGCTGACTGGACACGTCACAGCAACATCACGTGACTCTGAGGAAGACGCTAGTGAGCAGTCCAAACTGTCAGGTATGAAATAACACTCTAGGTCTGAAAAAAAGAACCTAATAACATAGAACATCCATCAGTTTTCTTCCACTTTATCTGGGGTTGGGTTGTGGGGGCATCAGTCTAAACAGACACTCCCAGACTTCCTTCACCCCGGACACTTCCTCCAGCTCGTCCGGGGGAGATCCCAAGGCATTCCCAGGCCAGGTGAAGGAGGAGCAGTGACTCTACCCCGAGCTCCTCCCGCGTGACGGAGCTCCTCACTCTTATCACTAAGGAAGCGTCCACCCTGCGGAGGAAACTCATTTGTGTCACTTGTATCGTCGACCTCGTTCTTTCGGTCATTACCCAGAGCTCATGACCAGAGGTGAGAGGAGGAACAGAGACTGACAGTAAATCCAGACTCAGCTCCTCCTTCTTCACCACAACGGTCCGATACAGCGAACGCATCACTGCCGACGCTGCACCGATGCGAGTTAAACATGTGTGAACAAAACAAAACACAACTCCAGGTCTGTTTGTGATGAGGAAACTGCATTAGAACAGACCAAAAACAGTGTAATATTGGCCCTTTTAAGGAATTTAAACTCAAAATCTCACGCACAGTTCCTTTTTAAACTTGTTTTTTTTTTTCTGGACTCTGTTTCTCCTTCTGTCCTGTAGGTGGCCGCTCGAGGTCTGGACATCTCTAATGTGAAACACGTGATCAACTTCGACCTCCCCAGTGACATCGAAGAGTACGTCCACCGCATCGGGCGCACAGGGAGAGTCGGGAATCTCGGTAAGACGCGCGGAACCTGCTCGGGCATTAAAACTCTTCGCGAATGGCTATAAAAATAAAAATAATGTGTTGTTTTTAAGGTTTGGCCACGTCCTTCTTCAACGACAAGAACGGAAACATCACTAAAGACCTGCTGGACATTCTGGTGGAGGCCAAACAGGAAGTGCCGTCGTGGCTGGAGAGTCTGGCCTACGAGCACCAACACAAGACCAACAACAGGGGGCGCAAGAGGTAACGGACTTTAACTGGAACGTACTGGACAGGTGCATTAGCCAATCAGAGACGAGCATGGTCTGTCTGTATCAAAACAAATACGGCTGCTTATGAGGGAAAAAGAAAGAAAGGAACAAAATATCTGCAGAATCAGTGAGCAAAGCGCTAAACTGTTTAAATTTGTAATGTTTATATTGTGCATTTTCAGGTTTTCTGGAGGTTTCGGGGCTCGTGATTATCGTCAGACGGCGGCCGGAGCGAACGGCGGAGGGTTCGGAGGTCGAGGAGGGCGGAAACCAGACGGGACACGGAGGAAACCGCGGATTTGGAGGAGGTGAGAAATACACTTCTACTTGTGTTCTGTAAAGCTCTTTGTGTCTGACTGATCCTGTCTGTGGTGTTGAACAATGGGAACTGATTAAGAACATCTATAATAATGGTGTTTTTTTATGTGATAATGACATGATAATGCAGTATTCCTAAAGTACCACAGATTTAGACTGAACAAGAAGAAGCGTCTTTGTGTTACCGTGAAAAGCTCTATATAAAACTGATGTAGTATTATTATTATTATTATTATTAAGAAAATTACGTTCACCACAAGTACATGGCTCTATTACCAAAGCATTCAGGACCCAATTTCATTCCCGTTTCTGACAGCAGAGGGAGCTCCAATGCCTGATGTAAAGGTCTGCGCAGGGCAAGAATTTTCAGCCCCCTCCCGCCCGGAAAGAATTGTAATTTTCATTCCCGCTGCCGCCCGCATCTGTGGACGTTCGCTTTCTTAAACTCTATCAAACACAGAGAAGTGGAAAGGAATTGTCTAAAATGTGCGCGAGATTAAACGACGTCCACAAATTTAGGCATCTTAAAATGTTTTTATTAAGGCCAAATAAAATATCCAGCACAAATGACACATGGATCATTTGTATATTTTACTTTACACTCGTATTTAGTTTGCGGGACTGCAGTTTATCATCCCACCCGCCTGCAACCTGCAACGAGGTTTCAAAATGTGTCCTGCTCTGCACTGGTTTGCGTCGGGTCCTGCGGGAGTGAGGCTCTAGCCTAAAGGCCTCATTGAAAAGATGTAGTTTAATTTTACGTTAAATGTCAAATGTGAACTGCAGAGGTTAATCTTTGACTCGTTTTCTCCTTGTTACTGATTTAACCTCTTCACAAAGAAAGATGACTAATGAGCTTGATGTCGTTGCAGCTCGGTCAAACGACCCGTGTTGCTCCAGCCATTTGTCTGTTTTCTTTGTTCTTAACAAGTTTAGAAGAGCATTTCTTCACATGTAATTACATGAGAATACAACAGATAGGAACTAGTGCGCCCCCAAATGTTCAACTCATGTATCAATTTTCTTTCTTTTAAATTAAACATATAAATCATGTACTGAAACATTTTAACCAATGCATTATTTATAAACCTTCAAACGCTGAAATTTTATGATTTAGTCTTTACCTTTATACTCTGAAAATCATGTTCAAAGTAAACAAAAATCTCCTGTCAAAATCATTACAGAACATGTTCAAAATCGGAAAGAGCCAATATGAGCTCAGAGGCACGACCATGTTTATTAAAAAGAAAATCAGAACAAACATTATGAAATTTTGTAAATCTGTTAAAGGGCTGGAGCTCTGGAACAACTGGACAGAAAACCTCAAATTGTGCACCACTTTCTTTCACTTCATAAAGAAGTTTAAATGTTTAACTCTGGACAGAAACATGAAATATGAGACTTAGTTTGTGCTGTAGAACTTTGTTGTTCTGTTACCGATTAGTTTGTTTCTTCCTGCTGTATTTATGAAGATGAACTGATGTCAAGATGAAGCTCTGACAAAGGAATAAAGGGTAAAGGCAGAATAAGCTTAAGCTTCAGCCTGCACCTTTTCGGTCTGTATATGTTAAATACGACTGTTTATGAATTAATGTCAAAATATACCTGTGACCCAAATAAATAAATAAATAAATAATAAATTGCCTTTTAAACAAAAATACAAATGAATTATTATGAATTGTTAATAATTATGCAAATATGTAAACCTTACATGAATGTTATTTTAATTCAAAAAATGTGAAATACTTATCCCAAGGTGACCAAAAGCACGTTTAAAAGTAGAAATGGACCGATATAAAACTTATGAGCCTGATATTTGCCCTTTTAAGTATCGACTATTGGCCTTAAATCTCCAGCAGAGGCCTGAATATACATAAAAAAATATACACATGAAGCTTTATTTGAACACTTAACCCCAAAGACGGACCTGCAAAAAGGTGACTTCACTGCTCTATATACAGTTTGTAGTAAAACACTGTACGTGCACTGAATTCAAATGAGATCATTTGGGGAAAATAATCAAAATCAGTCCCACGTATCGTCCCAAAAATACAGACAAATTTGATATTTTGAAGTAACAATATTTTAAACTTTCAGTACTTCCCGTAGTTCCTAATAATAAGAAGAGCTCAATCAAATAAAAACACCAAAAATATTAAATAAAAATCGTCAAAATACCCTGACATTTTTGGATGTTTGCGGGGTTTTTTCTTTCGATTTTTCAGACACCAAAAGCGTTTGTGAACATAACTAAAGTGTCATCCAAACTGCGTCGGCTGCTCTGGATTCTAAATTCGAAATCAGCCGTGGAAAAAAACATATTGGTCGATCTGTATTTAAAAGGGAATTAAAGCCACGAGTAAAACTGTCCTTTAACCGCATTTAGTGATTTCTTGTATTTTTAATAACTTCTCCCAACAGCTAAACATTTTATTTATTTATTTATTTATTTTTTGTCTTTCAGGCGGATTTGGAAACTTCTACGCGGCCGACGGATACGGAGGAAACTACTCCCACACCCAGGTCGACTGGTGGGGCAACTAGACCTGCCCCTGCCCCCCCCCCCCCCCTCGACCTGCCCCCCTCCATCCACCCCTCCACCCCTCATGCATGCGATAAAACTATTTATACTTCTTTAGGTGGCTTCATTCCCCTCTTATATTTGCACCAGACTTCCACACCTCCTCCTCCTCCTCCTCCTTTTTTTTTTTTTTGGATTGAGGTAAACTATATTGTAGCTCTGATGACACTTTAGTTATGTTCACAAACGCTTTTGGTGTCTGAAAAATCGAAAGAAAAACGCAGAATTTCTCAAAACTGCCCGGTCCAAAAAACGTCAGGGTATTTTGACGATTTTTATTTATTATTTTTAGTGTTTTTATTTGAGCGAGTTCGTCTTATTAGGAACGACTGGAAGTGCTGAAAGTTTAAAAATAATGTTACTTCAAAATTTCGTGGATTACACTTTTTTTTTTTTTTATTTATTAGAGTTTTTGTGTAACCATAAATAGTTCCTCTTAAAAACATTATTAAAAAGGTAAAAGTATTTTTGCCTGTCGCTGTAACTCCTTGAAAACTTTGACCGAATGTAAGCTACCTATTTTTCCACTACGGACCAAAAATGACTGAAGAAAAGTGCTTGAGTTGCAATTTTCAGCTGTTCAGGAATAATAATTAAGCCAGATGCCCTACCTTTCATTCAGTTTATCTTGAAAAAATAGAAATAATAGCTGTTTTTTCTCATTATTTTAGCGCCTCAAAAGGGTATTGGAAGTTAAAGGGCCAATATCACACCATTTTCTGATTTGTTTTAATGTCGTTTCCTCGTCGCAAATAGAGTTGTGGAGTTGTGTTTTGTTGCTGTTAAACTACTATTTTGTGACATCACAAGGTGGGACAGAGTGTTTTGAGCTTTGGAGATGTAAACAGATTACCTTATTTTTCAGAGTATAAGTCGCACCAGCCAAAAAATACGTAATGAAGAATAAAAAAACATATATAAGTTGCGCTTTTGGGGGGAAATTTATTTTATAAACAGGTCTAAACCAGGTCTAAATCAGATCTAAAACAGGTTTAAATCAGATCTAAATCAGATCTAAACCAGGTCTAAACCAGGTCCAAACCAGGACTAAATCTAGGTCTAAACCAGATCTAAATCAGATCTAAACCAGGCCTAAACCAGGTCTAAAACAAGGTCTAAAACAAGGTCTAAGACAAGGTCTAAACCAGGTCTAAATCAGATCTAAACTAGGTCTAAACCAGGTCTAAACCAGGTCTAAATCAGATCTAAAGCAGGTCTAAACCCAGGTGTAAACCAAGGTCTAAACCAGGTCCATGGGCATATACCAGTCTCCGTGCTCTTATACCGTATTTTCCGGACTATAAGTCGCTCCGGAGTATTGTTGCACCAGCCAAAAAATACGTAATGAAGAAGAAAAAAAACATATATAAGTCGCATTTTTCGGCTACAATTTCGGCTACAATCACCTTTTTCTTGGTCAATTGGGTCATTCACGTGAATCGCATAGAACCGGAGACTTTTTTTTTTAGGGGGGGGTGCTCGAGTTCGGAATTTAATTCTTCTCCTTTGAGTTTAAATAAAAATAATAATCCCCCCCACCGGACACTGTCACCTTTTTTTCTCTGAGGAGTTTGCAGGTCTGAGTTTACTAAAGTTGTACTAAGACACCCCAATAAATGCATATATAGTGTGCCCTATAGTGCGGAAAATACGGTATCTTAATATTTAAGTCGCAACGGAGTATAAGTCGCAAGAAACACCCAAACCATGAAAAAAAAGTGCCACTTATAGTCTGAAAAATACGGTAATAAAACGTGTGAACGAAACAAAACACAACTCCATGTCTGTTTTCAAGGAAGTAACTGCATTATAACACATTTTAAAGGTGCACTGCTACCATGGAGATGCTGTTGCTTTGCCTGTAATGTTCCGTAATATGGAATAAAACTTGAATAAGATGCATTTATTCAATTATGTGGGTGTTTTACGGCTCAAAAATACCTTTAAAAACGTGCTGGTGGCATCTCCTGCTTGTTTCTACGGAGACAGAAAAGATGAATGCTGTACTTTTGGAATACTGGCGGTAAAGCAATAACATCCTCTACGAGAAAAGTTACACAGTGCACCTTTAAAGCTCACATGGACGTTTTAAAGCATGTATTTAAACAAAACAAAAAAGAGTTGTGGTGTTTTCTAGTTTCGTCAAAATATTTGGCGATCCTTTTTGGCCTGGGCAGTTGTCGGTCTCGATACTCTTTACTTTTTTTTACCAAACGCTCTCTCTCCTTTCTCATCATGAAAAACTCCCATGATGCTCCAGGCTACGTGTCTCTCCACCTATTTGTAAATGTAAAAATTGCATGCCCAACTTCCACAGGGCCCAGATTATTGTTACTTTTTCTTAACATATATATATAAACGTACATTGAAGAAAAAAAAAACACACAAAGATAGGCACATTTCTGAACTGGCTTCTGGTCTTTTTGCCACACCGAGAAGAGACCGCGCTAAAAATGTTATTACGACTCTTTATTTTTCCATGTTTTTAAAAGGTTTTATGGCATTACATACAAGCCAGGTCTATGGGAATAATTCACACGGGTTGGACTCGAGTGAGAAGTCCAATTTAGTGAGTTAAAAATAATATTATGAAGGAATTGTTCTATACGGTGCCTTTAAAAAAAAAAAAACTGTCTGTTGATTTTATTGACAACATAATAACTGGCTACAAGTAAGGGCCGACTGTGACTAAAAACAAAAAAAAGGAGAAGTAAGTGATTATTTATTTATTTAACCGATTTAAAAACGTCGAAATTTTTGAAGATATCCTCGCTAATAACCAATCAGAAAAGAGAATCAACGTCACGTGATGCTGTTAGGGGTTGTGTTTTAATATTATGTTTAAAAATAACGTTGAAAACTGTGTATTTGTTGTATGAAAAGCACTTTGGGAGACCTCGGCTTAAGGCGTTGGCTCCGTCTCGCGACGAAAACGGAACGCGGAACCGAACCGGGGATTATCTCGTTAAAGGGTACACACTGTACATAAGCACGTTTATATATTTAAGTCCCGCACGTCGACGCGATCGTGAATAATAAAACGCCGACCCCTTGTGGCTGGAGTTGGTACTGTTGGCTCTATCTCGCAATTGGTATCGAATTCTCAAACCCGAATTTGAACATATTTCCCGAGATTTTTTTTGACGTTGCAAACAAGTCACTTACTTCTCCTTTGAAAAAATTGTGTATTAAATTGTTTTTGATTAATACTGGAAGGAAATAACCCAGGCTCGAACTAAATCAAACCTTGGCAACACAAAAAAATATATTAAAAAAAAGACTTAAAACTAGCTGCTGTGAGAAAACTTGTCTCGGAGTAGCTGTAATATCTGTTTCACATTTGCCAGAAAGTCTAACCAAAGTATATCACTAATTATTGTGACCGAACATTTCAAAATTCCACATGTTTTTGCACCTTACATAGTCAAAATAAGCATGGAAAAAGTCCTAAATTGTACTAAATCTGCAATATTAGTGATAGACTTTTGAGAGTTTAATTAAAATAGCAAGCTTTCTGGTACTTTTCTGCAACCAAGATTGGAGCTCGAATTTCTCAAACACATCTTGTCACTAATAGTCGGCCATTTTGTTCCTTGAGCCACTGAGAAGGCAGTTGAAAAGCAATTTCTATTATTATTTTTCTATAGTGAAATGCCAAAGATCCTTATTTTGTCATATGATAAGCTGATACTGTCTAGTTTTACCTTTTATACACTCGAAACATATATTTGTATAGCATCCTAGATAAATTATTGTGCACAGCTAGCTGGCGCGGTACACACGCTGGCTTTTGAATGTTAGCTCGTTGACGTTTATTTTGTATGCTAAATGTAGCGCGAGAACAATTTGAATGTTCCTTTTTTTGCTTTCGCGAGTAAAGCAAAAACAGGTCCCGTTGAAAAAAATGTGAAGAGTAGCCCGAAAGATGCTATAGCAATTACTGAAATTAGTTCTAATCCTTAATTCACGTGGCTATTATGCATTTTAAAGCACTTCTTAGCGTTTTTTTTTTTTTGTTTTGTTTAGTTTTTTTGTTTAGTTTTTTAACCAGTGGCTTTCTTAATGGACTTTTAGTGCCATTGTGATGTTGAGAAACTGGCTCCTGTTCCACATGTTCCCTTGTTCTAAAGGGAAAAACAAACGACAAAAAACAAAAAATTCTTCAAAAAGTTTTAATTTCTTCTTGCTCACTCTATCCTGGAGAGGTACACCAATCTATTACCCCCGTCGTTTAACTCGTAGGTTTTCTTCTCGATGGAGCTCGGGATGGGACGTCAACAATGGAAACGGGTCGCCAAATTAGACGTACACTATGAAAATTTTGTACTAAATATAGATGTATTATCCAAAATAACGTTAAAATGTAGGCCTGTCGCGATCATTTCTGTACACGAACGATGGAACAACAATTTTCTTTGTTCTATTGGGAAACGCTTGGTTATTTTTTTGTACTATAAGATTTGAGCAGAAAATGTTGAATTATGAACTTTTTTGACTCATTACAGATGCAAGTTAACTATTTAAATGTTACGTTCTGTTATTGTAGTTCATTTTTTTTACAATATCGTACAGTTAGAATAATTTTTGAGGGACAATTCAACACTTTGAAATGTTTTATTGTGACAGGTCTATTAAAAAGTCAACAAAATCAGGATGGAACAACCCGGCCGGTGCTGGTAAATACACGTATGACTGAAACGAGTGTCCGAAATTTCACTTTTTTAGAAAACTCTGCGAGGTGTGACGTCACAATCCCGAGCTCTACAAGATGGCGGCGTTCAGGCATGGACAAAATAGGAACATTTAGTCACAACAAATCGGCAAATGTGCGGAAATGCCACACGATTCAAGCAGTTTTATAGTGGAAAAACTGTGTCTTGCCCAGTTTTCTTCATATGGATATAGTCTAGGCTTAAAGCACCATGTTAGAATATATATACACAAATACTAAAGTAGGTCAAACGCGACGGCCAAAAC